CGTATTTGGAAATAGAAATAATAACATTGTCTATTTAACCAACCATCGCTGCAACAGTTTGTAAGAAAGTAATCTGTGGCAAGGTAATTTCGTGTTAAAATAATTTGGTTAAGTAAAGACTGGGGTCAGAAATGAATTTGCATCCACATGCCCACTACATTTTGGAAAGGTAAATTTGTGCCGATAAAGTATGATTATTGAATTTCAAAAGTATAATGTTTAAGACGTCCTTGGCGGTTGTGTAATATGCGATAACTTACAGATGATGTATATGTTTTCAATAAAATTATATTTTTGGAAACAAACCCCCCCTTAAAACCCCATGTGGCAGTATTCTGTATGCTGTAAAGTACAGTAAGGCTGTACAGTTATTTTGTTGACATAGCATTGCCAACACGTAGCATAGCATTGCTAAGATATTTTCAGCTGAACATCAAACAAGTGACAATACTCAGGCAGACACTTGTAGTTTTCTTTGTCCCACAAATTGCGTTCGACAGGTTTTACACGCTGTAATGTGTGTGTGTGTGTGTGTGTGTGTGTGTGTGTGTGTGAATGTGTGTGTGTGTGTGTGTGTGTGTGTTTGTATCTGTGTCTGATAGTGTATCACTGTCACCCTATTGCTATCACTGTCACCCTGTCTTATAACTATTCTATAACTGACTTTAACTATTGTTTGTGGCTGTCAGCCTGCTTTATGTTACTGTCTCTCAACTACCAATAACTATCACCCAACTGTTAGTGACTTTCACGATGTTGTCAGTTACAGTCACCCAATTGTCAATAACTGTTACCCTGTCAATGAATGTTACCTTGTAATATGTAACTATCACCTTGTTGTATATGACAAAATGAAGTATACCCTGAAAATGTAATTTGATCAAACAATTCTAAACGTTGAATACATCACTACAGAAAATCCATTTTTTGTCCAGCCAAACATGAAACCTTGGTGGACACATTCATTTATCAGGTAGTTTTATAGTTATAACTCTATTACGATGTTTGCATATCTGATAAACTTTGATGGTGTCCTCGGTGTGTTAGATGTGTCTATTTCATGATCCGTGTGGATGTAACATTTATTATGGGAAGGAAAGACCCTAAGTGTTCTATTGTAAACGTGCTTGAATATATCCACATTGAACAAAGACGTTTCAAGCATGTCAGGTGCTTTGTCTATTGCTGATTTCAAAATCACCTATTCATTCATAGGTCGAATGCTGAGCCGCTGACACGATACTCGACCCAAATAAACTACTCATGTCTTATGAGACAGAAAACATATGATGTTATCGAGTGACGATGTCGTGAAGTAGTCGCTGCGTGTACTACGTGACAGCGTGCATGTAACTATCTCACTGCTGTTGGCGTCCCTGCATGGAAACTATGAATGGTATTGTCTGTATACACGTAAACAAAGCTTTAGTAGTAAACTTCCTTGTTCGCTTTACATTGTAAGCCTCGAGCTCTATCCCATTCATTTTACGTTATGAATGGTGTTAGAATAAATATGCCCAATACATTAATATTTACATTATGTTGTTTTGTTAACTCATGTAACAAACACCTTTTTTCTGAATTATTAACAAACATTATTATTTAAGATAATAAAGAAAAATGGAATATACAGTGGATCATTTGAGTATAATCTCAGTGATCTGTCTACCTGTTATCCACCGCTGTATCCCTGGCAGCAAACGGTGATCGTTGGCTGAAAACCCAATTGAAGCCAATGTTGCAAACATTTAATCTGATGCATTTTGACGTCACTATTCAAATGATTTGTAAATTAAAAGACAAACTTATTCTTTTCTAATTTCTTCGACAGAATATTTCAAGTCGTTCCTATATTCTTCTGTTTTGTTTCTTGGACAAAATATAGATTTCACCCTTCGGATCTTAGAAAATATTTAAAAATGAAACCGGTCAAACCAGAGAATAACCCGCCTCGGTTACTTTCTTAATCAGGCTAGACATCAAGTCAGAAATGTAAAGATCATTCAGAGACGTATTTATTGTGTTAATGTGTAATGGGGGAATTCGAAATCGTCAATACAGTCTCTCTGTCTTACCTTCACGGTGTCTCGTCATGAGTTCATATCAATTAACGACCCTACCTTATTTGCCACATTTGACCTCAACACAGCAACAAGCCCTGGAATGTCTGCATTGTGACAGTATTTGTCACCTTCACGTCACCATCCGTACAACAAACAAACCACAAACAAACAGCGTAAATGCAAATCACATCTGTTTTCAATAACAGAAAAACAATGTTGTTCTCCTTGTTTTGTTTAAAGAGTTACTAACGTGCCAATTTTAACGCTGATTTTGTGTGGATCAGAAGGACAACACAATACTGAGAACCCACGTCAATTGTAGGCTTGTTTTGAAGTAATTTGCTGTTTTTGAAAGACGAAATGAAGGTTGTATCCGAGCATTGTCATGGGCTTACTCATGTCGAGCTCAACTGGGTATATATGTACAGGTTACATACATCCTCTGGTGTAGACACCATAATCATGAGACTCTTTATCCTTATTGTCATCGCTGCCTCCCTTCAGCTGGCTGCTTCTCAAGGTAAACAATATACACGATAGACCTGTTCAAGTTGATCTTTACTGTGATTTGTGGGTATTTCGTAAGTCAAATATCCTATCTTTCCTAACGTTGCGGTACACATGAATATGATATTGTCAGGTTTGATTTGCAACCCAATCCAATGATCTCGCGAGTAAAATGTAAGTCTACAGTATGTTAAATTCATGTATTTTACTATTAAATTACTGTATACCTTGTTCTGGCGGTTCAGTGTCTTCATCAGAGATAAATGTTATATTCCCCTTTTGAACATGACTTAAGACCACATTGAAGATTTTATTTTGCGTTGGCGGAACCAAAGGTGGTTCAGGGTTTGAAACCCCCACCCCACCCCTTCTCCCCTTCAAAATTCCTGGATCCGCCCATGACCACCACCACCAGTTTTCTTGTCAACAGGCTATGATGTTCCTGAAATACCGTCCAACAGTCTGACTGAATGAGTTTGGTTATACGCCGCTGTTAGCAATATTCCAGCAACATCACGGCGGGGGACACCAGAAATGGGCTTCACACATTTTACCCATGTGGGGATTCGAACCCGGGTCTTCGGCGTGACGAGCCAACGCTTTAACCACTAGGCTACCCCACCGCCCCAAGTCACTTTAGATACACTACTCTGTATGGGGCATGGTCTTCTTTTTGTTACTTTATTGAAATTAACGACATTTCGTTGTTCGCCAGTCAACTACCATGGAATAACTCGCAATGTAGTTATAGAAAAACCTGTTGAACGATTACCACTGTAAATACTTTCCCATCAGCTGATCTATGTATTAGACCATGTCCGCCTGGTGTTGAAATGCCCTGCATAACTTACATGCTGATTGGATGACAACTGCTGCAAGCTGCGGGTCCGAATAGCTTGCAAACAAGATTCAGTGGGAAATGTGTCAATAGTTTAAAATCTATATACTTTTCCCGTTGTTCCTACTTGTCACAGTGCATACGTCTGGTATACTGTGGACAACGAATTACAAATAACAATGGGAAATGTCTCCGTGTTGCAGACGGAAGCGGTGCCTCCTGTAAACACGGGGTGATTCCACAACCGGATGGATCGTGCAAGTGTCCTGTCAATCTGTCAGGCGATAAATGTCAGACACAGGGTGAGTGAGGGAGTCAATTCGTTGTGACACAGATCTAATTAACCATATCTGAGACTACCTATTCAAAACATAAGGCGAACCATGTCATCTTCTTTGTAGAGAATTCATCTGAGGAAAGTATGTCAAATATATCTAATACATTTAATAATTGACTGTCTATAATTGCGCAAATGGAGCTCTTACCTCGACAGGAAATCACCACATTGCAATTGAAGCCACGTATATCAACAGCCAATCAAAAAAACATAGTCTGTTTGGGGCATGGTCTTCTTTTTGTCAGTTTATTGAAACTAACGACATTTCGTAGTTCACCAATCAACTACCGTGGAATAACTCGCAATGCAGTTATAGCAAAAACAGTTGAACGATTACCACTGTAAATACTTTCCCGTCAGCTGATCTAAGTATTAGACCATGTCCGCCTGGTGTTGAGATGTCCTGCATAACTTACATGCTGATTGGATGACAACTGCTGCAAGCTGCGGGTCTGAACATGATTCAGTGGGAAATGTGTCAATAGTTTAAATTCTATATACTCTCCTGTTGTTCCTACTTGTCACATTCGTCTGGTATACTGTGGACAACGATTTACAAATAACAATGGGAAATGTCTCCGTGTTGCAGACGGAAGCGGTGCCTCCTGTAAACACGGGGTGATTCCACAACCGGATGGATCCTGCAAGTGTCCTGTCAATCTGTCAGGCGATAAATGTCAGACACAGGGTGAGTGAGGGAGTCAAATCGTTGTGACAGATCTTGGGCCCAGCTACAGTGACTTCCATGATCACCACATGATTTACAGGTCACTGTGACATAGCTAGTATATTGCTGACTCAGCAGTATGTTCCGGGCAATGTTCGGATCATCAATCGGAATATTTGAAATCACATATTCGCGGTATACGCCTGTCACATGAATTGGTACCAATTTCAAGAACAAACTGAAGGGTATTACTTTATCTGAATCAGAAGTTCTCTCTGATATTATTTCATTAGTTCTACTGTTATTCCTGAATCGTTGAACAGCAAGCACGATCTCAACGTATTCTACCTGCTGGTATATTGAGATCACTGAAGGCTGTCATCGTCCTGTATCCTGATTTCGTCAGATTGTTGTAGCGTCCTTCACGACTGTCTAGTCAGTTTACAAGTTGCCATCACATAGCTGAAATACTGCTGAGTATGTTGGTGTCCATGTTTTTCTTACTACTTCAGAATGTCTAGCGTCAGACCGTGTGTTCTGTCCACTGTTTGGTGTCCATGTTTTTCTTACTACTTCAGAATGTCCAGCGTCAGACCGTGTGTTCTGTCCACTGTTTGGTGTCCAGTTCTGTGCGTCCTCGAAGTTGTTCAACCACTCGCTGTGTCCAGTCATGTGTGGGAACTGTCCTCCCAGTGAGTTCCTGAAGGGGTTACCATAATTCCATCCCTAGATCAACGTGTGATATGTTTCTATATAATAGAGAGAAAATGTCTGGGCTCAGACGATGTCATTTGTTGACACACAGTATCGTGTAATACTTGTAAATGTATATTGTTTTTCGTATTTTTTTTAGTGTGTCCAGTTAACGAACAAGCTGACATATAATAAGGTCTAGATCACTTCCAAGTATCCAGGGTGCCGTTGTACAAAGCAACCGTAGCGCTACGCCAGTCGTAAGTATATGTTACGATATGGGAGTTACGATCAAATTAGCGATACAACCGTCGTAAGCCTATGTTAAGGTATGGGAGTTACGATCACCTTAGCGCTACGCCAGTCGTAAGTCTATGTTAAGGTATGGGAGTTATGATCACCTTAGCGCTACGCCAGTCGTAAGTCTATGTTAAGGTATGTGAGTTATGATCACCTTAGCGCTACGCCAGTCGTAAGTCTATGTTATGGTATTAGAGTTACGATCACCTTAGCGCTACGCCAGTCGTAAGTCTATGTTAAGGTATGTGAGTTACGATCAAATTAACGATACAGCAGTCGTAAGTCTATGTTAAGGTATGGGAGTTATGATCACCTTAGCGCTACGCCAGTCGTAAGTCTGTGTTAAGGTATGTGAGTTACGATCACCTTAGCGCTACGCCAGTCGTAAGTCTATGTTAAGGTATGTGAGTTATGATCACCTTAGCGCTACGCCAGTCGTAAGTCTATGTTAAGGTATGGGAGTTATGATCACCATAGCGCTACGCCGATCGCAAGTCTATGTTATGGTATGTGAGTTACGATCACCTTAGCGCTACGCCAGTCGTAAGTCTATGTTAAGGTATGTGAGTTACGATCACCTTAGCGCTACGCCAGTCGTAAGTCTATGTTAAGGTATGGGAGTTATGATCACCTTAGCGCTACGCCGATCGCAAGTCTATGTTATGGTATGTGATGGCGCTACGCCGTCGTAAGATGTTAAGGTTAGTTGATCAGTCCTATGTTAAGGTATGTGAGTTAGCGCTACGCCAGTCGTAAAGTCTGTGTTAATAAGGTATGTGAGTTACGATCAGTTATGATCACCTTAGCGCTACGCCAGTCGTAAGTCTATGTTAAGGTATGTGAGTTATGATCACCTTAGCGCTACGCCAGTCGTAAGTCTATGTTAAGGTATGGGAGTTACGATCATAGCACTGTGTAAGTCAATGTTAAGGTATGAGTTACGATCACCTTTTTAGCTACGACTGTGTAAGTCTATGTTAAGGTATGTGAGTTACGATCACCTTAGCGCTACGCCAGTCGTAAGTCTATGTTAAGGTATGTGAGTTACGATCACCTTAGCTACGACTGTGTAAGTCTATGTTAAGGTATGTGAGTTACGATCACCTTAGCTACGACTGTGTAAGTCTATGTTAAGGTATGTGGACGCTACGACTGTGTAAGTCTATGTTAAGGTATGTGAGTTACGACCACCTTAGTACGACTGTCGTAAGATCACCTTATGCGAGTTACGATAAGTCTGTGTTAAGGTATGTGAGTTACGATCACCTGAGCGCTACGCCGGTCGCAAGTTTATGTTTTGGTATTAGAGTTACGATCACCTTAGCGCTACGCCAGTCGTAAGTCTATGTTAAGGTATGTGAGTTACGATCACCTTAGCGCTACGCCAGTCGTAAGTCTGTGTTAAGGTATGTGAGTTACGATCACCTTAGCGCTACGCCAGTCGTAAGTCTATGTTAAGGTATGTGAGTTATGATCACCTTAGCGCTACGCAAGTCGTAAGTCTATGTTAAGGTATGGGAGTTATGATCACCTTAGCGCTACGCCAGTCGTAAGTCTATGTTAAGGTATGGGAGTTATGATCACCTTAGCGCTACGCCGGTCGCAAGTCTATGTTATGGTATGTAAGTTACGATCACCTTAGAGCTACGCCAGTCGTAAGTCTATGTTCAGGTATGTGAGTTACGATCACCTTAGCGCTACGCCGGTCGCAAGTCTTTGCGTTAAGGTCGCTTTGTACAACGACAGCCTTAAGGTAAACTCCAGTATCCGTTACTAATTACAAATATGTGTCACGTCACCAGTAGACATGTGCAGCACTAACTCGTATTGAACTACTTTCCTTTTGACAATACAGAGTGCACCAAGACGTGTGAGAACGGAGGAACGCAGGATAGTCTCCCTTGCACCTGTGGCTGCCCTGTGGGATTCTCAGGCGACCAATGTGAGACGCAAGGTGCGCTGTGTTCACCACTCGCTGGTGTATTTAAGTTCCTGTTTCATTACTCTTACGAAAAAGTAACAGAATGTCAATAAACAATGTAGTATTTATTTGAAAGTACCAGTACATAATGAATATTTGAACTATGTCTTGTCAGAGTACAATAACGTAACGGTTTTGTAAAGGGTTGTTGATGGTTCAGAGACAAAATGTGTAAACCATGCATTACGCCTTACTGCAAGTGATACACATTCCAGATTTCTTATACAAATGTTGTACACATGGGTCATATAATTGTGAAAGCATTGAATAGTAACTTTTTGGATGCATATTATGCTCAATACTTGTATCGACTTGAATGTTAAATTCTCAGGAATGTCCGTAATTATTTAACTAAATGTAACGTTATAGAGGCAGGCGTACGATATTACAAGAACTGGATTATACAATACCGTGCAGTGTATAGTAACTCAGTAGTTCCTGTGTGCTTGTAGTGCCCGACTGCGGGTCTGTGACGTGTCTCAATGGCGGCCTGATCGACCCCTCCACCTGCGGGTGCTTCTGCCCCCTCCCAGGCATCTATACCGGAACACGTTGTGAGAAAGGTAAGACAATCTCCATATTAACACCCACGCATTATCAACTATATGAATCTTTGAAGTTTCGAGTGACTTTCAATTGTAACATTTGAGTAAGATCTCAGATCTGAAACTGAAGGAATGATATCCTTAGACAAGGCTAGAACGCGGAGTGTAGACTAATCTTTTGTAGGGAAAACTTGACGTTTCTTACACAATCTATAAATTATGATTTGACTAATAATTATATCCTCAGAAACTTGAGCAAGGATATGAAATAATAATAATAATAATAGTGAATTTATATAGCGCATTAATCCATGCTCAATGCATGCTCTAAGAGCACATATATTTGGGTATTAAGAGTCATATGCATGCGATTTTCTAAATTCACAATATTGATGGTGGTCACCCGTACTTAGTCATTCTGGCGTGTACTCCCAAACCGTGAGGTAACCGATCACGGTGACTACATGTAAATAGTTTTAGCTGAAAATAAAGTGTTGCTGTTACTACTGCCAACACGATCTTTGGCTGTAATCGTTTGCAAAAAGATAATAATGTAAATATACTAATATTCTTGTGCAACCATAATATCATGAGGTAAAGAGGTAATCTGCTTAATTCTTCTTGGCTTCAGCTAATTGTAGCCTGGTCGTCGACCCGCCAGGTTGTGTCGCCTCTCTCGCGGCGTTTGTGTGTAGTGACCAGGTCCTGTCTAATGTGTGTCCGGTCCTGTGTGGCCTTTGCGCTCCCAGTGAGTACGCTCCCTCGTGTTGGCATGTTGCATATTCAGTTCATTATCTCATTATCCAATTCAATAGACATTCCGTATGTGGGATAAAGGTATGCCAGGGACAGCTTCAAATAAATGCACCCTTCTCTGCACATGTTAAATAGTAGATAGTCTATAGCGATAGTTATGTACTATCTGTGTTTCTGTGTTTTGAGGCAGCAGAAGGGAGTTTGAGAGTGTTACCACGAATGTGACGGAAGTTTTCAAAACCGTATGGATATGACAGGTCAAGAGGCGTATGTCACCCCATTTTGCAGTGACGATCGTAGGTTTGAATCCTCTGTCAACGTCAGTGGTCAGTGTCCCACAAAGCGACGAAAAATAAAACACTTTTATTCAAATAATATCCTTAGTAGATACGCTTTAGTCAACACGTCATAATGTAAGAACTGTGCGGTGACACATTCTAATAATGTGACTGTTTATTACTATCATCCGTGAATTCTGTTACATTCCCTCCACACAGGGTGTGAGAAAGTTTGTCACAATGGCGGAACTCTACAGGATGACGTCTGCCAGTGCGCATGTCCGGGAAACTACACTGGGGACTTCTGTGAAGAATCGGGTATGTCTCCTGACACATAATGTCATTCTGTCTATAACACTGTTAGTTCCATCTTGTAGCGGTCATGTTATGATTGACTATAAACATCAAAGCCAGAGGATATTTAGTTTCTATTATCCACCGAAACAGATTTCATTGCACTTAAAATGCACAATAACTGTGAAAACTATTTGAATGGGCCACTCAAACACCAGGTGCTCTAAAAACAGGAGTTGAAGACTTGGTTTCATTACCTCTTATTCTAATATATACTGAACAAAAACGTTAAGGATCATTAAACAGTGGCTACAGCTACATGTCCATGTAAGTGTAATGCCTGCTTTGTAGTGGATATATGACGAAGCTCTATGAAAAGAACATCTCCCCAAATTTCATATCATAGTAGTAATATGTAAAGCTCTGTATACCAGAGATAAAGAAACGAGCGTTTCGCTGAAGGGCATGGAAATTCGTTCTTGTTGAATACTTCGTTCTGGTGAACACGTGTCAGATCCTTTACTCCCGGATACAAACGGGAACATCCGGGTACCACACCCATAAAACAACACACATGCTCGTAGCTCATTGGACAGTGGACAGTTCTTGTCTGTCTCATAGCCCCTGAACCACATTATTTTCCCTAGTGCCTAACCCTCCCTGAAATACAAAGGCCTAACTGAAGAAAGTCTAGATTTCCTAAGGTTCAAGAAATTTCCCAACTCACTGGGGCTCTTTTCAATTTAAATGGGTTCATTTGTTACTATCAAAATTATATATATTCAGAGACTAGGTGTTAGCCTATGGACAGTTCCTACAGAGTTGAGTTATCCCAACACACCAGTGTTTGTGTTCCTGCCCACATCGCACGTTTATTTGTGAGTCCACTTCTCGTGATTCCGACTCGCCACGAGTATCTAACCTGTGGACTATGAGCGTAACAACACCAAGATATCTTTAAGGAACAAGAGTCAAAATGCAACAAGATCAATTTCACTGCTGATTAAACTGAGGTTCATTGTAAATGTAATATTTTTTTCTTTAGACATGTTAAGCGCAGTTAAATACTATTTGCCTGTCCCTGTCCTCTTATTGAATCCAGGACAATTTATACTATTTCCTTGATATGGTGGTTCATACCCACTTACGCCAAGTTATACATTAATGCCGTTTCAGTGTTTGTTCCGTTAAAAGTCTCATTGTATCCAGGACTAATTGTTTACTATTTTCACTTTTAATCTGACTATTGTCTTACAACCATCCAGTCGAGCTGTGCATGTCACCGCCGAATGTACCGAACGCCGACGTGTTAGTTGTGGACAAGATGGCGGTTTACACGTGCAGAGCGGGATCAGTGAGCACGGGAGGCAGTGTGTACAACTCGACGTGTGGTGTGGACGGGGCCTGGACACCCACCAACTTATCATGTACTGATGGTATGTCCTAATTTAGTACTGCTTGTTTACTACTGACAGTGATGTTGATTCGTATGTACAACCCCATTTATGGATTTTTAATTTTTATTTTATCTTTCAACAGTATGAGCATTGATCTACGTTGTTGGAATACGATGACATGTGACAACCAAGTCAGTGAACCTGACCACCCGATCCCGTTAGTCGCATCTTCGACAAGCATGGGTTGTTAAAGACTAATTCCAACACGGATCTTCACTGGCTGAAAAAATATTGAAAGTAGCACATAGCTCTCACTCTGAATCATTCCTAGAATTGAAAACAAGGGCTAGGAATATTTCTTTAACTGATGAACAAATGGGGTACCTTTCAAAGAGGGTATAGTGTTGAGCCAGCTGCGGTGATCGCCTCTGGCTAGGACTGCTTTGAGTATTACGAGGCGGTGTAAGTAACAGATTATTTCAGCTTCATTAAAGCACAAAATCCGGAATCGTTGATTGACGTGTGTTGTTACTATTTGCTGCATTAGGCGTTGGGTTACATTTATGGAATTTACCATTCATTTGAGGTGGGCATACAAGTGGCGAATGAAATTACGGCTCATTTCATGGATGATCATGAATGTCCACTTTGTGTCTCAGTGTCCAGTTGATAGGTTGGGCATTCGTTCCAACTGCGACATGTTGTTCCACTCCGATTACATGGCAGCTGTGATATATCCCACATAAAAGATGGAACTGACGTATTTAGAACTTCACGTATAAGGATCGTGTCGTTACTGTCACTAACTTCGTTGATACATATTACACATGCCAAATGTATTATGTAACATATGTTATATTTAGGACTTTACATTGTTAGTAAAGTACAAATCCTAGTACTTTTTGAGTTGAGTCCCATCCGGGATTAGTGTTATCCCAACATATGTTATATTTGACTACTTTCTAAATGGCATTGTGTAATCATAGCCAATTGTACTGATCGATACTCATGATGCCAGTCACTGGATTGTCTGACCCACCCTCGATTAGTTACAAGACGCCTTTATACAGCCGGCATATCTCGGAGTTGCGTTATACACCAGACAAACGCAACAAAACTATTTATCTGTCAGTTTAAGTATTACGATTTTACGTTTTCAGCAACTAGCTGCTACTTGACGAGAAACGGCGTCCGACTTTACCAGGGAACACTATCTACGACCAACAGTGGTCTGACGTGCCAAAACTGGACTTCTCAATCTCCGAACAGACACCGTTACTCGGACGTTCATTTTGAGAACCTGGGTGAGACGGCGGCCCTGGCCGTGAACTACTGTCGAGACCCCTCGGGAAGAGGTGTGCGTCCCTCCGGCCGACTCTGGTGCTACAACGGGGCATCGAGACGTCCTAGGTGGGACTGGTGTGACGATGTGCCCAAATGTTAATAACTCTTAATTAAACTGCAATAGTTAAACAAAGTGATGTATTATACTATCCACACTTTGATAAGGATCAAATCATGGCTTCAACAGAAAACAATTATGTGCGGTCAAATTTGGTTTAAATACCTAAGCATATTGCAAGCATGGATCCTAGGTTTCAGTATTGCATCTTGTGGATCCCATACCTGCTATTGACATGTGTTGTTCAATTTGTCAATGACTCATTCCATGATTTGCAAAATGGTTCATTGGCGCCATGAAAAACATTTATATGGTTATTCATGTATCAAGTGCATAAGGTTAGATTAAAGTGGCTGTTTGCCTAAAGAGGGGTTACCATATTATTTATCCAATTTTAAATGGATACAATTTCAAATTATAAATCTACGTTAAAGTAAATTAAAGTTGTGAATTTTTGTGATCCTTGGCAAAGTGTGAGTAGTATATAATGGATCAATTATAATAAATACTGCATAATGCACAATTACTTACATTCGATGCTTTTGTTGAATTAATACAACCTTTTTCTCTGGACATTGCTGTGTTGTCATAAGTCAACAGTAGACATAAGGGATGAAAATCTGTGCTCAATCTACTAGTTTTCATACAAACAACTAAGGAAGGATAACGGTCTATTGATGAACGACTTCGTTATTGCAGCGAGGGCGACGTTTAGGTGTAGGTTGTAACACCGTTATCGCTGTCACTGCAATAAAGAAGTAAATAAGCTGTTCATCCATATATATGTCTTGTTAGCCTTCCTTAATACTCCAACTTCTAATTGCCTCTTACAGAAGTTAAACAAGCACCTGCTTCGTGTATGTTACAAACCATCACTTATATCACTAATGATAAGGTGTATTTTAACTGTTTATGTCGTCACAATGACAATAACGTTCATCTCCATGGCAACAACTCTCAAGACAAAGAGATTATGTTTGTGGTGTGGTACGTCCAGTATCTGTTAGGATACGTCTTCTAAATCTGAAAGGGAATGTGCTTTATATATATGGAAAGAACCAAATGGCATAACTGCACGGTCCATAGACAACAGTGAGTGAATGAATATGGATTTATGCCGCATTTCGCAAGTTCCAACAACGTTACCACGATTCAAACTACACCTGTAAGGGGAATCGAACCCAGGCCTTAAGCATGATGTGCGAACCATTAGGCTAACACACCGACAAGGTCCAGAAATGTTACATGCTTGTATTCACAAGTGAAAAACCTCTATGATAAACAGTATATGCACGGGTCCATATTCGTGAATGAGTGAGGGAAAATTCCTGGATCCGCCCATGACCACCACCACCAGTTTTCTTGTCAACAGGCTATGATGTTCCTGAAATACCGTCCAACAGTCTGACTGACTGAGTTTGGTTTTACGCCGCATTTAGCAATATTCCAGCAATATCACGGCGGGTGACACCAGAAATGTGCTTCACACACTGTACCCATGTTGGGAATCGAACGTCTTCGGCGTGACGAGCAATCGCTTTAAGCACCAGGCTACCCCACCGCCCCTCAATATTGGTAAAGCATTATCCTTAAAAACAACTTACGTCATTTGAAAAACTTGACTTGCAATTCTATACAGTTGGGTTTTTCAAGACACAGTGAGCTTTTGTTCTTACACCGTTTGGCGAAGTATGACGGTAAATAAGAACGTGTCAGTTGATGTAAAAAGAACATGAAAAGTGACTCAGGTGAAAGATGTTTGTTGAAACGTGCGGGTATGATGATGGCATAACGTATAATAACGGGGGACCGCGAGATATGTAAACGTTTAAAAAACATTGATGTCACAATATCAGATGATTTATTATCATAATTTATAGGTGAAAATAAAATGCTGCCCATAGAGGTTGAGTAGTCCTGACACAGTCGGAGTGGTGGGGCTCATCATCAGGCCATGTGCCCTTGCCCCCTCTACACACAGTCGGAGTGGTGGGGCTCATCATCAGGCCATGTGCCCTTGCCCCCTCTACACACAGTCGGACTGGTGGGGCTCATCATCAGGCCATGTACCCTTGCCCCCTCTACACACAGTCGGACTGGTGGGGCTCACCATCAGGCCATGTACCCTTGCCCCCTCTACACACAGTCGGACTGGTGGGGCTCACCATCAGGCCATGTACCCTTGCCCCCTCTACACACAGCCACGACGGCGAATATGGACCTTTTACAAAGAATTTTGTCATTTTCCACCACTCCCTCTCTTCTTTCTGCTGAAGTTGATAAAGCGCAGAATCAACGTTTATTTGAAAAAGCATCCTTCGTCTTCAACGTTTGTCGAGTTATTATTAACAGTTAAAATACTGGTGTACTTCCTCATACCCCAACGGTCTCGTGTCAGTCGATGGTAACAGTAATAACGTTGAACACAGAAGCGATATGTTTGTTTTTTCGGTACTGTGACCCTATACAAGAGACATGTAGCAAACACTGGACAGTCCCACGGTGTGTTTATTCATAAGGTTCTCTCAGATGATGGCGTTGTTTGCCCGTCTTTAGTACTTCTAGCCGTCAACTCCCATAGTTAAATATACTTAGCATTGACGACCATACAGGTAGACATGGGTCTGTGGAACCTGATGCTCAATGTAGAGAGGGGCGCTTGGGGAACCTGCCCCTCCTTCATGTGTAAACTGGGAGTCAATCACTTCCACTTCATGCCATGTTATTACTTGTGCAAATTTATCAACTAAGCTGTCGGCAAAAGAAAGTATACACCAATGTTTGATAATACCAGACATGAAACAGATGAGAAATAGTTATTCAAGGATGATATATTCCGTTCCATATGTCCCATAGTCATGTTTTGCGGTGTTTCTGTGAATGATTTCTGTCTCGTAGCATTTTGATAACATTTGTAATGATGCGTTAAATCCACGTTCTGAGCGCATATTTTCCTTTGCTCAACAGCTTATCTGTAGAAGCATATTCCCTAGTATCAAGATTAAGTCTTTGTATTCCTGAAAATACTGAACTACTTTAGAAACGCACCACCCGGATAAAACGTTTCATCTCCGTGATAAATGAAGAAAAGGACTTGTCCCTGTTGACATTGTAATTGTCAGTCAAGATGGAAACACAAGAAAAAGAAAAAGCAGTTATTCTTCATTTAGTGAAACAATGAATTAACGACAACACTGACTGGGAGTCGACGTTAACTTTCACACGCCCTCAAACCGTTCACATAGTCAATTTCGGTAACTGGTATCAGGCCCTCCTATATTTGTGACTAAAAAGCGTTGAATGAGATTATAATGATGGTACATTGGTAGCATAACTTCCCTATTGAAATATAATGTACGAACAAAAAGAGGTACTATCGGATTTGACAGCGGCCTTTAGCAGAGTACGCGGGTATGGCCATCATTTGCGTTGAGCACAGACACTACAGGACAGGAGTGATGTTCATGCTGTGTCTAGCAGTATGGGGTCGTGTTTTATCTTGTTGCAAAATGTGAAGACGTTGATCTAGGGAACGGCTGTACATGTATTTCTCAGTACCTCCGCTGAAAGCGTTTGAAGTGTAACTCGACCACGCTCTCGGCCAAATCTCTCTTCAAATCATAGCGATACCACAAACCCAGCGGTTCAGCTGCTGAACTCAACAATCAGCGTTACGTATACGTTCTCCACGTCGACGCCGGACTCTGATTCATCCATCCTCATGACTGAGATGAAATCTGGATAAAGAGAACACGAACTCAGTCCTATCTGATGATACCCCTTCTTCCACGAATGGTAGTGTCTGTTCTGAACGCCGGCTTGAACCTGACGATGTGACGATCTTGGACCGGGGTCGTGACACATGGTTGTGTAGGATGTGGTCGATCATGTGCCAGTTTGAATTGTGACCATCTGGCCGCTTGACTTGTAGACAAACCAGTTTAGAAAAACCAAACAACTCTTTCTCTCTCAACAGGTGGTAAACGTGACATTGTTATGTACAGTTGGTGCTGTTCAAACGTTCGGTGTAGTTTTGGTACACAGTTGAATGATCTGTCAATGTGTTGTGGAACAGCCGTGTTTTATGCATTTTCATAAAAGTTTCAGCAAATGATGGGTCACGTGATCATACGGGTGTCTTCCCATTACGCTCACAGCCAGTTCGCAGACACCTTAAAAACAACATTTACGGTTCAGTGAACAAATTATCTACTACCTGTTACCTACACATTATAATGGAATAGTCCAAATAAAAACTCAGGAACAAACTGAAGCTATAGTATTTATTTTGAAAGATGGACGAAAAGACAGTAATGTAATTTTTATTGCTGCAATATGAAAACAGTTATATTTTCATAAACATTTCGGTTTAACCTTCTAGTCTAACGGGAGTGGGGATCATTATTGAAAACATTAGCTTAGCTGTTAGAAATTGCGACAATGTTGAATCATATAAATCAAATAAAGACAAATGTGAACTTAAATATTATTCATATGGAATAAAGAAATTATATGTTTTGCACACAATATTGAGATATATGACTAGTGCACTTAATAACGATTTATTTAGAATAAATATTTAAAATATTGTATACTACTCAAAGAATAAACTGTTACAATCTTTAGAAAGTATTGTTAAAATTAGAACACTGATTGGTATTATTCGTATCTTACAAGGCAATGCAGGTTTCTCATCAATTTTGAGAAGAGAAATAATTTATCATTTAATCACAACAAAGTTCTATTTACCCACAATCAAAACTCTCAGTAACGAACCTGTTTCAGGCTCACCCTACTCTACTCACTAGAAAGTGGACTGTTCTATTATACCCGTAGGTGTTACCCTAATTAACCTCCTAGTTCAGTGTCTGTCAATTGGGTGTCTGTCAAATGGGTGTCTGTCAATTGGGTGTCTGTCAAATGGGTGTCTGTCAAATGGGAGATAACCGGATGCACGTGCTTCTCGGTGTACATCACGTTTATCTGTCAGTCAGATTACTTCAAGCATAGTTTGGGTTTTTGCATTTCTAAAGTAGTTGAGTATATGTCCCTATCTGTATTATTTCTTTCTCATGTCTTTTTGAAAATCAGAAACCGTACTATTTTTATTCCGCTTTAATAAACAAACTTTATAATAACTAATAGTTTAACCGTTTATTAGATATTAGTATTATAATTTATGTGGCAGTGGTGTGAGGACGTTTTGAAAAATATATAACAATTAGTATATAGCAATTTTTCGTAATGTAGCATGAATCTGAAATAGTGAAATAGAGGAAATAGTGTTAAACCATTAAGACTTTTTGTATGAAATATATCCGACATTACTGAAACTGTGACGAATTGTAATGGTAATACATTTAAGAACGTTTCTATCTCATTAAACGCTCTACTGTCAGGAGAGGTGGGGTAGCTAAGAGGATAAAGTGTTCGCTTGTCACGCAAAAGGTACGTTTTCGATTCCCAATGGTAAAAACGGTGCAATGACATTTCTGGTGTTCCCCGCCTTAATATTGCTGACATGTTTAAAAAGCGGCTTAAAACCCATCCTCTGAACCCATCCAACCATTAGTATTACTTTATATTTTGGTACACGAGTAACATACGTAAGGTTTATGGATATAACGGTGTTACTATCAATGCTGGATATGATACAAATGTGTGCAAGATATCGCCTGTGGGTAAAGCCGTGAAGATCAGGTTTAGACTTGGTCTTCAGCAACCCATGCTTGTCATAACAGGCGACTCACGGCATGATCAGGATTGCTGACTTGATTGATACTGTAACATGTCATCGTGACCCGGTAGATCGATGCTCATAATGTCAATCACTAGACAGTTTGGCCAAGCTTGAATATTTCGTAACACATCAGCAAACCTCAGCAATATTGTTTGCTGCTATTGTAATGCCAATGCAGTGATGTTAATGCCTCACCAAGCTGTATCCCATGCTAATCAGTAAGGATGCCGTTAGCGGTACCCCACCCCTACATACAGGAAGACCGGCCGTTGGCCTCGCTACCTGGACCATCGCGTGTGTTTATTTGGTTTCAATTACTGTTGTTTGACTAGAGGCACAAAAGGATTAACCCCACGTGCAGAGCTTTAGTAGTGCCCACAGAGGTCAAACAGGAGAGAAGGAAGGGACCTCTGGTGGCAGAAACGGAATTACACTTGGTCGAAAGTATGTGTCCTGTAGAGAAAAATAAAAGTAACTGAAAGGATGTATTCTTTATCTTGACTGTGAGGTAATGATGGAAGGGCAGTGTGGACAATGAACGTAACACGTCTCCCACGTGGAGATGTCTAATGAATACCCACTGACGTCATCACATTGTTCTGTACGAGTCTCTCTCTACTGAGCATCTACTTAGACTTAATCAGACCAGGAGCGACTTTGATAATATAGTGACGGTGAAAGTGACTATGCAACATGTAATGAAGTGTAAATGTTATTGTGTTGAAACACTGATTAATCCCATACCTAGTACAGGGAGTCAGACTCGCCCTGAAAGAACCATGGTGTAACTACTCAATGCACTTTGTCTATAGCGGGTGTGACCACCATTTGCATTGACCTGGGCGAGGTAGCGGTGGGGCATTGAAGACGCCCACGTATTGAACACAACCTGGTAGATGTTGTTCCTAATGTCAGCTAATGTCGTACTAAGTTATTCAATCAATCTTTTATTCTCTTTTTAACCACCCACGGTGGTAAGAGAGCATTAGATACATATTACAGGGAGAGTTGATGCCATTGTTGGAAGGTCGTTGTATAATTTACAGTTTCTGCATAGCTTTAACACGATTGTTGATAAATATAAACTTTGATAATTTCTTAAGAATAGACAGTTTGTTGGATGCGAAAAATGATTTCATCTTATACAAATTAGCAAATATACAATGATATGGTACGTTCCAGACAATGAGATCTAATTTGAGAGAAGGCAGATAGCTAAATGGAATCCATCAGCTGTTGAAGGCAAATTACAGAGATGGCAGGTTCTATCATTTTGCGGGATGCGTTTCCAACTGATTCAGTCGTGTTCGTATCCTTTCCAAATCACCTTTTCTAGTTATGTTCTGTAGTCGAGAGGCTTGTAGAGACAGTCGGTATTGGAAGGCCAGCAATATTAGGCTGCCTCAACACGTGGACGGGTTTACGTCACGGGCGTATGTTACATGCCGTCACTTTCACAGAGTTAGAATATGATCTAAAACGACGTGGTTAACATTAACATTCTTTGAGTGGTTTTTAATGTTGGACAATACAATGTTGATAAACCTTTTGATAACAACGTCTTACGAAAGAAAAGAAGTTGTTCTCCATGACGTTTGTCAATATTCCATAAACCATGATGAGTTGTGTTCTCCCAGGATTTGTTATTACACTACATACATCACACTGTCACCCCAAACAGCGTTCTCCTGGTCGTCTATAGGTCCTAGCACAACCACCAGAGATGTCCAGATGAAACCTGGCCCTGATTTCTGAAAACAAACTTAAGTCTGAGTTGTGACCTAAGTTAGAGGTTTTACTCAAATTTGAGCGAACGCAGGAAAATGCATTTCCCAGAATGAACTGAAATCGATATTAAACTCAAACATAGTAAAGGATTTGAGTTTGGTGGATAGATTACTAAAGTTGTTTGGACTTTTTTATTTTAAAATGCAGCTGAGTTAAAAATTCAGCTGTTTCAAATTGTCAAGCTCAGTTTGAAATTTGAGTAAAATCTTAAGTTTGTTTCGAGAAACCTGGGCCTGTACTCATTTGAATACAGCGTATTGTCCAAATCTTCAGATGCTGTTGACACTAAGCTGTGTCTGACAGTGATATGGAATCAAAACTGCTCATCATGGCCGGATACTCTGCTTCCTCGGTCGGTTGCATACGGTTCTGCCGCTAATTGGTCACAGCACATCAAAGCCTGGTGGTATGAAGCAGAGTTATTTGTTTCACTAAATATATGGAGGTCTTGCTTATACCAGCATTGGCGTTTTACTTATTCAAAAATGGCCTGCTTTATTGGTTTACCTTTCACCAGTATTTATTAACTCGCATCTGATGTTGACGTTTGACAGATCAAAATCATGTTAACGTCAAGTTTGTTATTATGTGTGTTTTTTTTCTCTGAACCACCTGAAGAAATGGTTTTGGAGAGTGTGGGTCGCATGTTGTGTTAAGTGATGCTCATATGGATAGATCACAAATAAGAATCTGAGATCTGAAAACCAACGTGTAATTATGCATGCATTATGTATAGAAGACAAGTATTTTATTTCAACTTATATATATTTGAGCACAGTACACGACTGCGATATGTTTCTCTGTGAACCATGTTTGAGAACGGTGACAGCATTCAATAAGACGTCTAGGTAAACGACGGAACAGAAGGAAACGATTCAGGACCTTCCCCGTTGGCTTTGATAGTCTTTGTATCCTGACAACAAATGTAGGCAAATATGTCAAACCCGACTAATACTGCTTCAAAAGTGTCGTGAGTCAATGCCGAATGAGAAAATACACAGTGTCTAGTATTTTGCTTTAAACATAACACTCCAATACATCGTCTGTGGTTGTAATTTACATCAGACCCTGTACCCCCTATGAACATCATATTGGCATATATACGACATACCCTAATGAATGGAACCTACATGATGGGGGTCGTCCATTATGACGCGAGAGGTGTAGGTCCTCTGAATAAATACGCGGGTACCTTTGCACGCATCCAATTAGACGCAGTGTCGACCCGGGTGGTGGAGAGAGAGGATGAAGGCTGTTGTCCCTGCCGTAGCCCTAGCACTATGTGCTGCAGGTTTTTTCACTCTGGTGCTCTACTCAAGAAATTCCGTCTCTGAAGGTGAGGTCATTGTTATATGAGACACATATGTTGATGTTATTAGATTTCTTCATATTGATGTTATGCTCAGAATTAAGAAAGTATGACAAGTTATCTGTGAGAATTTTTATCTTTATTGTGCCTATTAATTTGCGATTGGTGGAATCTGTTTCGCAGAAAGTCAAGACGAGGTTTCCTCTACCTTTGACGCTATATTATATCAATATTCTGAATAATGTTTAGATAAGACATATTCGACAAATTATCAGCATGTGTTTCACACATAACTTTGGATAGAACAAAATCCAAATTAGCAAATAATATTTTAAAAATCGTTTATGCAAAAATCCCTTTTTTTAATTGACATTAAAATGCATATCTTGTAATTGATTATTGCTATCTTCTGAAGTTCATAGCCAGTTCTGAGCCAGGTAATGTTGTTGTAAACGCACGACTTTAAGCAGGATTTAACATACCAATGACAAAACAGACCACGAATTCAAGCACGTTTGACACATAAGGCAATGTGCACGTTCACGTTTAAATTGATCATAACACTGCACATCGGGTTGTTTATGACAGATATTATGTAACATTATGACATTATATGTGACAGTATGTCCAGAACCGGTTTTACTGCAGTTCATTGCGTAGGTGCTACAGTTGATATTTCTACATAAATATCTGTTTATATAAGAAGGAACAAAAAGGCTCATTTTTCTTAGTGGATAATTGTGATGATTTCATGGATGAGTGAGTATTGTTACATGCCGCTTAAAGTACCATTCATATCATGTCGAGGGACACCAGAGTATGTAGTACCAATGTGGCGATCCAACCTGGGACGTCGGAATCAGGAAAGCACCCACGTAACCATTAGGCTATCAAACCGCCTGTAGTGATCTTAAGCAGGTGTACGTATTGACATTCAACTAGGAAATATGCTGCTACTGAAGTTGTGTGTTGAAGACCCGGCGAAAATAAATTTTGAAGATTTTTTAATAGACACAAATAGTCTCTACTGAAAAAGTATCCCCAAAAAAGCAACACACATCACGGAAACAACACATTGTGTCCACATCTAGTACACCAAACACTTGCCAACTTTAGGATACATGTCTCTATGATATATATTACTCTATATTTGAATGTAATTATAATTCATAATACATTCCAAACATATTCCGTTACTGAATTAATTTGTGTTTGTATTTCTGTCAGAATATGCACCTTGTATGTGGTAATACATTAGAATCCAGACTTTAATCTCGTAAGGACAAATACATAACGTGTGGTCGTATTGAACAAAGTGACACCAGGGTTTCAAAAGATCCGAAGGAAAACTTGTCATAAAAGGCGACTATGCTTGTCGTAAAAGGCGACTAACGGGATCGGATGGTCAGGATCGCTGACTTGGTTGACACATGTCATCGGTTCCCAATTGCGCAGATCGATGCTCATGCAGTTGATCACTGGATTGTCTGGTCCAGACTCGATTATTTACAGACCGCCGCCATAAAGCTGGAATATTGCTGAGTGCGGCGTAAAACTAAACTCACTCACTCACTCACTCCGAAGGAAAACATTCAGGAAAGTTTGCTTATCAACTATTAAAAAAATTCCAGTTCTGAACTTGAATTCCTCAGTGTTGTCGACTGTATATGTTGGTATCCATAGCTCGAACTGGAGGAGTGTCGACACCTTTGACACTTTATCCCTTGTAACATATGTTATATTTGCGAGCACACTTTCTATGTAATGTACAGATTCTTGTACTTCTGTTAGGTTGAGTCCCAGCCGGGATTCGAACAAACACTCTCAGAGTCAGGCACCGAAACACCGGCACTCAAAGTCAGCCAACTATCTCTTTCCCTTGATCAAACACATTAGTATAGTACAAGCTGATACTTACTAACGTAGTTGTTTTCTGATTTACAAAACATTGTTTTCATTATATATACTGGTTCATGATTCGACGGACAACTAGTTAGTTCTTACTATTAATCTGAAGCCAATTTCTGATGTCCCCCGCCGTCATATTGCTGGAATATTGCTCAAAGCGGCGTGAAACCATACTCACTCACTCTTACTGTTAATGTAATGGGACCCGTGAAGACCCGGGGTAGAATAGGTCTTCAGCAACCCATGTGCTTGCCATAAAAGGCGACTATGCTTGTTGTAAGAGGCGACTAACGGGATCGGGTGGTCAGGTTCGCTGACTTGGTTGACACATGTCATCGGTTCCCAATTGCGCAGATCGATGCTCATGCTGTTGATCACTGGATTGTCTGGTCCAAACTCGATTATTTACAGACCTTCGCCATATAGCTGGGATATTGCCGAGTGCGGCGTAAAACTAAACTCACTCACTCACTCACTCCGAAGGAAAACATTCAGGAAAGTTTGCTTATCAACTATTAAAAAAATTCCAGTTCTGAACTTGAATTCCTCAGTGTTGTCGACTGTATATGTTGGTATCCATAGCTCGAACTGGAGGAGTGTCGACACCTTTGACACTTTATCCCTTGTAACATATGTTATATTTGCGAGCACACTTTCTATGTAATGTACAGATTCTTGTACTTCTGTTAGGTTGAGTCCCAGCCGGGATTCGAACAAACACTCTCAGAGTCAGGCACCGAAACACCGGCACTCAAAGTCAGCCAACTATCTCTCTTTCCCTTGATAAAACACATTAGTATAGTACAAGCTGATACTTACTAACGTAGTTGTTTTCTGATTTACAAAACATTGTTTTCATTATATATACTGGTTCATGATTCGACGGACAACTAGTTAGTTCTTACTATTAATCTGAAGCCAATTTCTGATGTCCCCCGCCGTCATATTGCTGGAATATTGCTCAAAGCGGCGTGAAACCATACTCACTCACTCTTACTGTTAATGTAATGGGACCCGTGAAGACCCGGGGTAGAATAGGTCTTCAGCAACCCATGTGCTTGCCATAAAAGGCGACTATGCTTGTTGTAAGAGGCGACTAACGGGATCGGGTGGTCAGGTTCGCTGACTTGGTTGACACATGTCATCGGTTCCCAATTGCGCAGATCGATGCTCATGCTGTTGATCACTGGATTGTCTGGTCCAAACTCGATTATTTACAGACCTTCGCCATATAGCTGGGATATTGCCGAGTGCGGCGTAAAACTAAACCCAATCACTCACTCACTCACGTTAATGTAATGGCTGTCTGTCGCATTTATCACATGGCTAATGTAGGAGGCCATGATTTCTCCGAGATGTCCTTTACCACGCGCCAGATCACCGACCGAGTGAAGAGGCGGTGTGGGCATCAGATGGTAAAGGTCACCTTTATTCTCTCCTTTGATTTGTGGGATTACCAGGAGTTTATCGTATCTCACGCTGGACTGCCAGGACCCCCTGCGTGTTGGTCACTTCCTCCTCCCCATTGTGTCTTTGTGGGCCATGCGTGTCTTCGCCAGCCTTTCTGTTTGAATCAGACCAGTGTTTGGAAGCACGGTGTCAAGGGGCAGTTTACAATATACCTGTCTACACGCCCCTTGAGCATACAAGGAGGTGCTTCATATTGGGGAAAGCAGGGCGTTAGTCACCAGGAGGCTGTGTTGAACGTTGTCCCTACGTCGGGGACTATGACTGTAACACACATACAACCACAGCAATATAGCCAGCATGACATACACTGTCACAGTATCGGCAAATTAAGGCAACATATAGGAAGCCTGCCGCAAGACAGGAACAGATGGTGGTACACTGTGCACGCCTACCCATATACACCATTTGCATGGATAACATGCCATTTATAACAGATAGCGTTATCGCATTTACCCCAATATAGAGATTACCTACTAAATGTCAGACACCATTAATGTACCATTCTAGTTGTTTTAATGGGCATCTTACGAGCGAGTTGCAGGATAAATTGTATATGACACAACCTAACATCGCATCATTCTATCATGGAATCGATCATATTTTGTTTATTTTCATTACCGATGTAGCCCATCGGTATATATATATGCTGGCGTACTCCCTAATGTTCATACCTACATGTGGGGCGGTGGGGTAGCCTAGTGGTTAAAGCGTTGGCTCGTTACGCCTAGGACCCGGCTTCGATTCCCCACATGGGTACAATGTGTGAAGCTCATTTCTGGTATCCCCCGCCGTGATATTACTAGAATATTGCTAAAAGCGGCGTAAAACTAAACTCACTCACTCACTCATACCTGCATGTAGTGTGACCCTTCACAGACACGTTTCAGCTATATCTGTGGAATATTACATGCCTCATCACAATGCCAACTAGGTAAGCTTAGAGGACATCTATTAACACTCTGATACCGTTACACTTCGACACAGACGCCGCGAGTCGACTGAAGAATTACACGGAATCGCAATCAGGAACATTGTCTTTCATAAACTTAACTTGGGGCATCATCCAGCCTATCACTTACCTGAAATTTGATTTCATGAGCGTATGTTTAATACCTGTTATTACAAATGGGTTTCTCACCCACAGGTGTGTCAGGAATCAATCAACCAGCTTCAATGCTACTGATTTCAAGGCGCAAAGCATATTGATACAAACGACTTCTGTGAATACACAATGCCATTTAGAAAGTGGTCAAATGTAACACGTTATATTTTAGATTACACTTTCTCAGTAAGTGGAGGCCGTGGTGGTTGAGTGGGTTAGATGGCTCAATTTTGGTGCCTGTCTCTGAGGGTGTGGGCTCAAATCCCGGATGGTACTCAACCCAACAAAAGTACTAGAATCTGTGATTATTAAGAATGTGTAATCACAAATATAACATGTGTTAAAATACTTCTGACAGTAATCCTATATTTCTGCTATTACACCAAAGCAAACATTCAACCAGCGAAATACTACCACTGAAGGGAGCTGACCTTGGGACAGACAGCGGCAGTCAACCTGAACATAATCCAGACACACTGGACCCGAATACAGTCAGTTAGCAGGCAGAGACAAACACAATCAATCCAGTGACTTATATAAACATTTATATTTAAAAGTCAAGTTCAAGACATGGACATTCAGATAAAATTGTCTAAATTCACTGTGACTAAAGATGTTTGTATTATGGATTGTATAATGTTAACCTCATGTAACAAATTTCAACCAGTTTCCCTATGAACTTCATAATATAAATGTTCTACCTTCATGGTCTGCATGTCCCCCCTCTTTCATGTGTCATATTGTAATGTCAATATAGTGCATACAATTGTGACATTTTACGGCGTTGTTGGCCGGGTATGACGCCATGGGATTTACCCACTTGCAATAAACTATTCAGTACGTACATCTTAATGTATAGCACATCCAAGTATGTCAATATATGTCAGGTGGAAACTTTACCGCCATTATAATGACAAAGGTGCCACGCCCACCTTGTGACGGTTACACAAATACCCCATATTGACATCAAATATTTAACTCTTAGGTACAAACATACCTACTTTTCAGAAAGAATCGTTATTGTGCTCTGTTTCTTTAAAATGGACATCTAAAGGAGAAAAGTTAATAGAATCTATTCTTGTGGCTGGCTCTTTTCTATCCCGTGTATCTCTGCCGTGTATGTCTATCGACTAACAAGGTATTGTGAGGAATTAGACAGATGTGACTGGCTGTCTCCTGAATCACACTTATACGCATACAATAGGGCGGTTTAAGCACTTCAGTGTCTCTCTCACTGGTAGTTGTTACGTGTTTGTCGTCTAGAAGATTAAAGCTAATGTGGAGATTCTACTTAATACCTTTGTAAATGTGCATGATATTAATGATGACTGAAGCTAGAAATGAACTTGCGGTCACGATCCCCATCAAGGCTGGAACTTGAAAAAAGTAAAAACATGATCCAATATAGATGAATAGGACACCATCACCAATTGTGTAATATGAGAAACTGGGTTATTAATGAAATTATATTTTCAATAATAACACAGTGTGCATATAAAGAATCGGTTTGCTATGACTATACGGTGTAGATTATGTTAAGGTACAATTTCTCCAGCGGGAGATATTTTCAATAATAACACAGTGTGCATATAAAGAATCGGTTTGCTATGACTATACGGTGTAGATTATGTTAAGGTACAATTTCTCCAGCGGGAGATATTTTCAATAATAACACAGTGTGCATATAAAGAATCGGTTTGCTATGACTATACGGTGTAGATTATGTTAAGGTACAATTTCTCCAGCGGGAGATATTTTCAATAATAACACAGTGTGCATATAAAGAATCGGTTTGCTATGACTATACGGTGTAGATTATGTTAAGGTACAATTTCTCCAGAGTGATATATTTTCAATAATAACACAGTGTGCATATAAAGAATCGGTTTGCTATGACTATACGGTGTAGATTATGTTAAGGTACAATTTCTCCAGAGTGATATATTTTCAATGCAAAATCAAACGTTTAACAAAATCTGGGGGGATAGATTCTTTTGCTCCACAGTTCAATATTATGGCTCTAAAATCACCTTATATTATTCGACAGTATTGCACAGCTTAAAATGCGGACTAAGTCCTCGAATCAACAGATATGCTATCATCGATGTTGTTCATGAAGTGAGATATCGATATTTCCAAATGATATTTTAATGGTAATCGATGTATGTGTCCGATAGAGCAGTGGTTTGACCCCTAAATATTCTCGACATTGTATAATCATTGTATTAATTTTTCATTCTGATATATACGAATAATATGAATCGTTTGCCTTTTTCAGATCTTCAGCACAAAGCTTTTTCCCGCAAAGCAAGGATGGTATGTTGATTTCACCATTCACCGACTAATAAGACATAACCGTTACGTTTACAAATCTGAAGATTTAATGACAGTTGAAGAAACATAGGTAAACGCTATAATGGGAACGGTCGGACGGATGAGCAATCACTCAACCAACCAATCAATGATTGAACGAATCAACTAATGTTTGATAGAAAGAACAAACAAACTAATCAATGGATTAGCAGTTGAGTTCATATACAGGCAAATCAATCATTTACAAGGTTTTAGTACTTACAGATACGGTGCTCGTGAACCCACAAGCTACAGAGTATACACATGGAAAACACCCAAGAGAGTTTATAGTATCGTATACCGCCATTAAGCATAGCAAAGGAACGTATCCAAACCACAATTACTTAGTGTCTGCATAAATTGACTTTCAATGAATAATTAAATTACTAATCTGAACGCAAAAGGAACGAAAACTGCAGTTTATTGAGAGAAGCGAACATGGTAAAATTGACTCTATTTGTAGGGGTGATAACTATGGTTGTATGCTGTTAACAAGTGCGGTCTTTTTAATATTTTGTATACAATCCTCAGGAAATCGCATGAGTATCAATAACCAATCACGATATCGATATCTGGGTTAACGTGCACCAAACACAATAACTATAACATCCCTCACCTTCTGATCAATTCTTGAAGGAAGTCTTCTTACAATACACCCAGGTTTTGTGCTGGAGGATCTCTCTGTCGTATTTCTATAACCATAATGGCACAAAAGCTCAATGGGACTGAAATATGGATTAATGGAGAGCCAAGGCAGAGTTGCTACGGCCGCTTGGCTCAAGAAATCACCAACGGTACGAACACGATGTAGCCTAGCATTGTGATCCATGAAGACTGGCCTTGTGTTTAGAGGATGGTCATCGATATGTGGTACAACAACTTTGTTTAGGATGTCAGTAACGCACCGCTGTATATTCATATTTTATCAACGAAGTGGAAGCTTCTCGCATCTCTTGCAATAACCCTCGTAATGTTTCGGGCACCAATAACATGCCACCTCTGAGCAAGTATTAGTTCAGGAGGCCGTATATCATATGGTTTATCAACAACGAAAGCAATTGAATTTTCCAAGCTATCCAGCTGAAAGAAAATATCCATTCATGAAAACATATGTGTTACGATATTGTCCTCCGAGTGTATATAATCTTCGAGTTGTAGGGTGTCTGTTTCTAGCAGATACACATAAGTTGTGTCTTTTAATTCCATGTAAAGCTGCAAAGGGACGGTATGATGTATTTTCACATTACGAGACAAAATGTTAGTATGGATGGGCGTGACGAGCTAGCGACGTGAAAGCATTTTCACCAGACCGTTTGCATCCGGAATCATATAACAGAGACCGTCCAGGCAGATAACCAGTTTCCACAGAAACTGAATTAATTTCTTGTTACGCTATTTCAGGTCTGTGACGCCAAGTATTCAAGTATCCGAGACGACCATACCATGTGTTTGATGGACGTTGCCGGAAGTTCGGAAGTAACCCTCTCACCACAGGACATACAAGCCATCGTCGACAGACACAACAGCCACAGACAGGAGGAGACAACTGCGGCCGCCATGCCTATGGTGGTAGGTGTATCAGATTGAACACTTGTGCGAGCATGGATCACTACTTCCTATGTAACTGTGTGGCAGGGCTGCTACTGTTTGTCCCAGAATCTGACTGTATGTGATACTGCGGAATCCTTTGCCCATAAACGTTTCATGTTATCGTTTTTTGTCTTTGCCTTCCTATATATCACCTATATATAAGTGCCAATCAAAGACGCCACTTTCATAGGCATGATGCATACATATCATCAAATGTGATTTACGAAACGAGAAATGTAGAAATTATACAAATTTGTGTGGAACATACTTACCTTTCTGTCTAGGAATTCCTATGAAAAAGTCTCCTGTAAGTTGATGTCGTGTATCATAGGAAGTTACTTATGGTTTCTGGTAACCTTGGTAGGGGCAGGGTGTCATTTGTACTGTCTTTGTAAGCAAACCAATTATAACAATCACTTAGGGCTTCCAGACCCCTCACTCACTGACGGCCGATATTACCAGTATGGACTTCAAGCAGTGAGAGCTCGGTAAAAGGCCACTTGGCTATCTTACGTGTGCTTTGTTTCTGTCCCTACTCTACATGCCTCACTGTGAACATCACTATTTCTCATACATGTTGTTTGTTGCAGTCGTGGGACGAGGAAGTGGCACTTATTGCTGCTAAATGGGCCCGCCAATGTACGCAAGGACACGAGTCCGAAGGCACAAAGAGAGCCGCCAGTGGTAAGTACTCTGCCCCCGTCACGCATCCCTGTATCTCAGCCATGTAGTGGACAATAAGTTACACAGCGTTACAGTAGTACGGGTTTGCTTAATTCGTATCTAATTCAGGTCTCAATGTTATTCATAGACGGGAAACCGCTAGTCTAGTAAAGTCCAGTTTTGCATTCATGGAGTGGTTGTTCAGAGGAACAGCTTCCGTGATATTTTTTTCTTTCCTATCTTTCATTCCTATTAACCCGTCATTGGCCAATGAATATCTTCCCTTACAAAGACCAGTGTTTTATACGTATTGTGTGTGTAGTTGCTCTCTGCTAGTACTATGTAGATGGGTGTATTATCATACTGTCAGTGTAATTCAGTGTAGAAACTGACGATTCAGAAGATAATGTTTACAACCACTCTATCCAAATATTTGCCGGTCTCCTATGTAGTACAAATAGTCAGTGCAAAGGAATGTGCAGCATGTCAGTGTCCGCCACGTGGTATATCGCGTTTATCGTGCTAACGTGGATTTTGTTTAACGTGTATGTAAACACCACTGACAGAAGTGTTGGAGCTCATTGTCAGTATTGTTGGTTTAGTGACGGCATTGATTCCATTACAGCGATGTATTGTGTACAATTTAACACGTCTGCTGATGTCTGTACAGGGTTATGTTTATTAAGTGTACACTCGAACTGAATGATTTCGAAACAGGAGCGGAGATTAAATATTGAACTTGCAAAGCATACAATAGTTGGTAAAATATGGATGCACTTGATCCCGAATAACGCTGTCGAGCTAATGTGCCAGATAAATGACACCAAATAAATCCTACAATAATTCAGTGTGCGTGGAATGAGAACTATATCTGTTGGTTTCATCAGTAGCATCGTCACACAAACACAATAACTACACAACAATCCTCTGTCGGGGTTCCGGGTCGGAGTCTCCTCCATCAGACATGTGGCTAGTGATGACTATACTGAGAGTTCAGTGGATGCTGATGTTGATGCTGTGTCCATCGACCCCGGCGTGGAAGGCTGTTTACCATATCAATCTCTGAATCGTCCCTCTCGACTTTTGACACATCTACGTCGGGTTGATTTAATATTGTTGAAATGCGTTAAAGAGAGTAGCATGACTGTATTATTAACTATGTTGTGGGAATGCCTTGCTAGACATCATTTTGCATCAAAAGGAATAGTTTCTGATGATAGTCAAGACTGGGTATTCTTTTGCACTGATGCTCATTATTCTTTGGATGTGAATATGGTAACAACGTTTACGATCATTAAATTGGTGAAAAGAAACAAAAAAATTAGCTTTCGTTAGCACTTCCTGGAGGTCTTAATACGTACAACATGTGTCAGTTGGTCTTCACTATCACACCAAACTGATATTCTCTGTTGGAGCTGATACAGTTCTTCGCTTCGTTAAACCCAATTCACTCGCTCCTCCACAGCCCTCCCTGGCGTGGCTATTGGGCAGAACGTGGCCTGGGGGTACAGCAACTTTCTCAGTGCCATCACAGATGGGTGGCAGGGAGAAAAAGCCTGGTTTCAATTCGGAACAGGCTCTACCACTGGTCAAGCTGTGGGACACCACACACAGGTTAGTAAATAGCGCTATCCAACCACCAACATCACTGAAAATACACCATCACTACACCATCACAATAACTACACCATCACCATCACTACACCATCACAATCACCACACCAGCAACATCACCATCACCATCACTACACCATCACCATCACTACACCATCACCGTCACTAAACTACTACAAGGACCTGTCGGTATCAAGTTTTATTCTATATATACCGTAAATGTTGTTCATCATGTTTAGATCATAAACGACGATGTGATTCGCATTGGATGCGGCCAGGCCTTGTGCAGCGACGGCAACTACTACGTCTGTAACTACGTCAGAGGGTAAGAGACTTTCATCCTTACAATATCGGGGTCTCCACTATCGTGATCGGAACTAACAGGCTCTCCACTATAAGGATCGAAACGTGGAAACGATCGAGTGACGGTGCCTCGACTAATAGCGTCTGAATTAACGGACTCTGGACTAGAAGGATTTGCGCTAACAGGGTCCCCACTAACGGGATGACACGGGACACAATGCCTGATTTTACACCACTGAATCTATCACAGATACAGTTAATGTAGGAAATGCATGCCCAGACAGTATTAATGATTATGGTCCTCGATATTTACCAACTTTGGGCGTATATTTCATTAAGTACATGAACAACGTATATTGCCGTATGAACAAGCACTTTCGTCATGCATGCTTTGACATAATTATCTAAGCATGAATTCAAAAGTTGACATCTCTGTAAATGCTTGATCATAGTGTTTCCAATACATTTTTTTAGTTTTAATATTGGTTGAAATTTGGCGAGCCAATTTGTCAATTGTTAAATGTGTTCATGTCTTGGAAATGTATGTAGCATTCCGGGTGTCACGGGTATGTATTTGAACAGTTTGAATATGTTCATATTACCATGGCTAAAATGATATTACGGATTGTTCCATTATGTGAAGTACTGGTTCGCATTGTATCTATTTCACGAATACAGAAACCTTTGCATCAAGGCAAAGCTTCTTACGATTCTACCGATAAGGCGATTTGACTCATCTACTGTCTAGCCTCGTTTACAATATTCCTGGGGCGGTGGGGTAGCCTAATGGTAAAAGCGTTGGCTCGTCACGCCGAAGACCCCGGGTTCAAATCTCCACATGGGCACAATGTGTGAAGCCCATTTCTGATGTCCCCCGCCGTGATGTTCCTGGAATATTGCTAAAAGCGGCGTAAAACCAAACTCAGTCAGTCAATCAGTTACAATATGCCTGGACATTATATATTCAACTATTCCATTCATGGACACTGTCTTAGATGACACAATATTCCATGACGCTCTACATGGGTTGCAATGTCTTAGGACTTTTTATATTAGATCACCATATTCTTTGCCCTAGGTTACAATAAGCTAGAATGCTCTGCTATAGTTTAAAATAACTTTCAGAGTAGCAAAACTCTATAACAATGACATGAATAGAACATTGTTGACTGGAGTCTACACCGATATCCTACACAGTAAACATACCATTGTCACAATACTAAGATCTTTGTAGTACGGTATGAGTCAAAGACAACGTCAATTAAAATGTCGCTGAAATTCTGTATTCTCCCCAGGCAATTCGGCGACGAGATAAACAAGCCGTACTGTTCCCTCACCGACTCGGCAACCACCTGCACCTCATGTACAGACAGAGACGCAAATACCGGACTCTGTAGTAAGTCCGAATACCGTGTGTTAGAGAGAATCGTAGACATACGCATATCAGTGAATGAGTGAGTGAGTGAGTGAGTGAGCGGGTGAGTGAGTGAAGGTGTAGATATATCTTAACCTAAGAGATAATATGTTAACATCGTGACTGTATATTTAATTCATAATGATGATTGTTAGTTGGTTATAACATTTATCACGGATCTGGTTCGGATTCGATTACCTACAGGTGTCATGTAGTAATACTAAAACGGTTTTGAGAGCTACGTAATTGTTCTTCAACTCATATCTGCAGTTGTAGATTCGTTTCTGTCGTTTCGTTACTGAAATATGACTGCATCACGATGCAACTGTCACCACAACAGTGACCATCTCAAAGTATGTCCTTTCTGCTGTCATGCACTTCAACACTGTATATCACTGAGCCCCATACCCATGGTCGTGTGTTGCGCCACAGTGTTAAACGTCTGAACCACGAGTCACTTCGGGCCTTCCTCCCACATTAAGCAGACACTTATAACTGGACTACTGTTCTTAGTTGCCTTGCACCGTGCTGGTAGAAATGTGTTCACCTGTGTTCCTCACCTTGTTACGAGGAAGTGGGTAACATGACTCCCGATCTTCTTCATATGTGAAGACCTGTACCCGCAAGAAGAGATCAGATTGTCTGGTAACAATTAATTATAGAATCCCAAAAAGGAAAACCAATATTTGAATTCAGTTAAGTGTGGAATCCTAGAGGGGGCTTTGTAGTTTGTAACGTTGCACTGTCGGGATATCGCACTTTCAAAACAAGCAGACATTACTTGGATTCCATGCTTTGCTGACTGGCAATATCGGCTTTATTTATGTTCGGTGTTGATGACGTCTAAAACATTTTGTGCTGCCTTCGTTTCAGCCTGCGACAGAGTCTGTTTGAACTCAGGAGAGCTTGATATAGCGACCTGTACGTGCACCTGCCCCAATGGCGGCTACTTCTCGGGACCAACGTGCGAGACACGTGAGTTACACACTGATCCTACTGATCCCATTGATCCTGCTGACGCTACTGATCCAACAAATACTCTGGTAACCACTGCAACTAAAACCAGGAACCGTAATCCATATCTTTTCATAACACACGTTTATCAACCCGATTCCTATTACGATATCAATATTTATGACACAATGACGTCATAAATCTCTGATTATTGTAGTCAGTATTACTTGTTATACACCACGCTCCTTTATGTTTCAGTGGCATGTCCTGCTACCGACTCCAGCTTCTGCAACAGCAACCCGGTCGACTACTGTACCCAGTTCTCCAACTGGCCCTACCTGTGTCCCGTGTTGTGCAATGTCTGTCCGAGAAGTAAGTGCCTTATAATGGGCGTTTCCTATAAAAAGTTGGCTTATAACGGGGCTGTCCCGCAAGTACGTGCCTTATAATGGGCGTGTCCCACGAGTAGGTACTTGTATCGACATTCTAACATGTGATTCTTACGTCATACGTTTTTATCTTGAAGAGCAACTCCCGCATTAAATACATCTTTGCATTAAATATTTCAATCTATTATACTGAAGGTCCTGTTGACAACGCTCCTAGAGGTGAATGTAATCCTGGTTACATGTGGCGATGACCTTCAGGGTTTGGTTACATGTTATTGGGTGTATGTTGCAGCTTGCGGTCTCACGTGTCAGAACGGAGGAACCCAAAACACAATCCCATGCCTGTGTAACTGTCCCCCAGAGTTCACAGGGTCGCAGTGCGAGACCCCAGGTAATCGATAACAGCGCCCTCGGGATATCAGCTCTGTATAGCTGTCCACGATATCCTTATGTGGATGTATTTTGTGTATGTTCTTTCACGTATAGATTCGGCAAGATTCCTCTCCGGCTGAATGCTTAAATGCACTGCTTTCACTCTTTCTCTATGACAAAGTAATAGAAGAACACATTCAAACTTACCAGTGGGTAAGTGATCGTTATTGATTTTGAAACATGTATACACATATTAATATTCGCTACAACAGATTGTTCTGTCTACAGTGTCCACATCCTGCACGCTCACGTGTGCCAATGGCGGAGTACTGGATTCGGCAGCCTGCACGTGCTCATGCCCAGCCGGATACGGTGGCGCCGACTGCAGTAAGTCCTTTGTTATGGGGCATAATCTGTGTCCCGATCATTACATAGTATAAAAACCTTCATAACTAAATTACAAGCGACACCATTGTCTTTCACAGGAAAACCGTTTAAATTATTTGACATTTACGATCAAAAGGCATCGAAAACCAAATAAGGCCGAGTCCACAAGCGATCTACTGTCTTCTCACCAGATGAGAAGATAGTGTGGGTGAGATTGTTGCTGTTATAAGCCATCAGCTACACAGAGGGCCTGCTGGTCTTGTTCAATCACTACTGGTCATCGTAACCCGTAGGCAGCCTATTTCGCCTGGTCACGTATGCACAGATCTGGTTACATGTGTATCTATTGTTTCATGTGATGCAGGTGATTGTGTCAGAACGTGCAACAACCTCGGCATGCTGGTGCAGGCGTCTTGCACGTGCAGTTGCCCTGCCCCGTGGACCGGGGACTCCTGTGGTAAGTCACCTCCATTGTCCTTATGAGTGAGTGGGTGAGTGAGTATCGTTTTACACCGCTTTTAACAATATTCCAGCAATATCACGACGGGGACACCAGAAATGGGCTTTGCATTGTACCCACATGGGGAATCGAACCCGGGTCTTGGGTGTAACAAGCGATCGTTTTAACCACTTGTCTACAAACTCCCAAATAGTTGTAGGGATCAACCATTCGAATACGTAGCCTAAAGTCGATTGAGACATAGTTTTTCTATAACAGACTCCTGTTTAATTGCATGTTCACTTGTCTTAAAGATACTTGCAGCCAGACATGCGAGAACGGAGGAGTTGTGACGTCACAGTGTACCTGCAGCTGTCCAGCTGGATTCAGTGGCGACCAATGTCAAACACGTGAGGACATCAGTCGTCTAACGTCTTACTCGATATTTACTGTCGCATTGTGAGACACATCCTCGGGTTAACCGCTTGGCCTGTATGTATTTTACAAATATGTCCGCGGGTTTCCATACATCAACGTGAAGCATCCGCCAACACCCCATAATTGGTTTATTGCAGTATTTCTAATGAAATTGTGCTGGGGATTCCTCTCTCAGCAGAACCAGTGACATCATTGTATGAGGGTCAATCACTATGTGTTTCTCAGATTAATCACCCTGTATATTAATAGATTTTGATTTATTCTTATAATGACATTACGCTTTGTAAATGTTGATTTTTGTCATATTTTCGTATCAAACCTTTGATAATACAAGTATTGGAACACTTCCTAAGGAAATACTCCGTACTTGTGATGAGAAATTGTGAACCATTACACTTTCTCTTTGACGTATAACCTTGTCTTACTCCATGTTTTATGTTGTCCCGTTATTGTAAAGCTGCACCACACGTTCTCGTTACAGCTACATCGACGTGCTCCCTGACATGTTCTAACTCCGGCGTCCTGGACTCCACATCCTGTTCCTGTTCCTGTCCTGCCCCCTGGACGGGAACATCTTGCCGTAAGTCACTCCTAGATTATCCAATATAATTTCATTTTTGTTAGTGGGTAAAGCGTACGCTCGTCACGCCGAAGATCCGGGTTCGATACCCACATGAGTACAATGTGTGAAGCCATTTTTTGGTGTCTCCCCGCCGTGATGTTGCTGGAATCTTGCTAAAAGCGGCGTAAAACTAAATTCAATCACTCACACATATTTTGTTAACTCCTATACACGGTTCTCATGCATGGTCTGTATCCGATATGAAGTGCTGGCCCGGAAGTCTGTACCTTGTCTCCTAGCACACCTTTGTATGTTCTACCTACAGAGACGTGCAGTCGAACCTGTTCAAATGGAGGTGTGCTGAATCCCACAACCTGCGAGTGCCAGTGCCCCTCCCAGTGGACGGGCGATACATGCCGTAAGTCATCGTCATTCAACTTTACATCTTTACAGTTGACATCCTTCTGGACACACCCTCTAGTAATTTGGAGATTTATCGGAATGTATACCCTGGAGATTATCGAGGATGAACTGGACAGGATCCATATACATGTTATTTTGTGATAATGTAACTTCAAATTGTGCCCTTCAAACTGGAAACATGCTTTCGTTAAATGGGTCCTGACATTCTCAGAATTCAGTGGTGACTAAATGCGAATCAGTGTGAATTAGATGGTATTTGGGATTCAGTAGAAGTGTCATCGGCGTAGGACTATAGTATCTGGAGACTGTGGAAGCTGACTACATAGGTTAACTTACTACAATTTGTTTACTTCACATGTTGTCTTGCCCCGACTACAGGGATAAATTAACTCACACTCATTAACACTCACTCACACACGTGCATGCATGTTTACATATAACTAAAAGACTTCACCTCACCTCAAATTCAGGAACAATTAGCAACATGAAACACTCTCCGTTCCAGAAACATGCACCTGGTTCTGTCTCAATAGCGGCCAACTCTCAACAAGCACCTGCACCTGCGCGTGTCCAGGAGGCTGGACCGGGGACATCTGCGGTATGTACAGATAGCACTGAACACATCATTGGGGATGACGGGGTACGGGCGGTGTTATGTTTACACCATGGCGAAATTAGCTTTTGATATTTACAAAATCAATTTAACGCGTGTGCATTCCTTAATAGAATATGTGTAATATTATATAATAGAGCGTTTAGTAGGTAAAATAATTAATGTCGGAATATATTTCCAGAAACGTGTCAGCGGACCTGCTCTAACGGCGGCATTCTCAGTCCAACCACCTGCACGTGTGCATGTTCGTTACCCTGGGGTGGAGACACCTGTGGTATGTATAACCTCCTGTGTCGGGTTGTCACCAGTACCTATACTCTCACTTTAAGTCACTGTTCACAAAACTGAGCAAGTCTCCATCTGTTCATCATGCCTTTGAAAAGGTCCCATGCACCCACGTATTGCCGTGTGTCATTCAACGGGTTTTTTAACGCTGCATTCACTTCTAGTCCCAGTATATATGGCAGGGTATTACGTAATCGAATCTGAACCAAACAATCCAGTGACTGATACAGTAAGCTGCGATCCACGAAGCCAGGATACACTGAAACGCTACACAGGTCACCTGGTAGATTTTAGTCCCTTCTCACGACAAGAACAGGTTGTTGAAACCACATCTGATCCAAGATCTTGCGACCACTATAAGCTGTAAGGGACCATTTCCAACTCCAATACGCCTGGGTTCCCAAACAAGGAGGATCTTCTCGGGATTCCCCCTGAATCTGGCAGTCCGAGTTGGCCACCTGGTTCTTTGACATGGATTGTGGTTTTCGGTCCCTCGTTGGCCTAACTAAGATTGCTATAGACTTGCCACTGTTTACCCTTCATCTTGATACAGTTTCAATATGGCCGACTTCCGGTGTCAAGCTGCGTCATGTTTTCCCCAACTTGGAGCGAGAAGACATTGTGTGAAGCATATATATATCTGATGTCCCCCGCCGGTACAGCGCAGGACTATTGCCACATAACCTTACCCATTCACTCAATAGACATACACATATATAAATACGTTTTCGGTATAAACAACGCCACGCATGCTGCCATTATACATCTCTGTGTTACGCTGCAGAGACGTGCACCGGTTCCTGTTCTAACGGTGGAGTCCTGAACCCGACCACGTGTACCTGCTCCTGCCCCGCCCCCTGGTCTGGAACAACATGTCGTGAGTATTGGGCGATATAAGCTCGTGTGAACGGGATTCAACCTTTTCTAAGTTCGAAATTCAACAGGAGAATCTTGAGACAACTTGTCGGAAGTGAAATAAGGTATCATGGGTTTCACTGTGTTTATTTTTGCAAAAGGTTGTCTGGAGTAAATGTACTTGAATACACTATATACTGCTGGACATACGTCTTTGCAGTGACATGTAGCGGGTCTTGCTCTAACGGTGGTCAGTTGAACCCCACAACCTGCCAGTGTTCCTGCGTCGCCCCCTGGACTGGATCAACATGCGGTAAGTAAACAAGATAGTGCCCGCTACATGAGTAAACCCAGCTATGTCCAGTACATGATGTGAATGATCACAATAATATTACCTACATGTTGTGAGTAAACACTGTTTTGTTTTGCTACATGGTGTGTGTAGACCCTGTTGTGTCATGTGTTACTCAGATATATGTCTTATTTATACGCTGCCAATGAACACAGTTGTGTCTGTTCAACGCCACGACTTCAAACCGTGTAATGGTGTCATTCAATCTTATTACATCAAAATAATGACTTAGTACCAGACATACACGACTTTATGCGACTCATGACTATACCGATTACAGCCATGCAGTATTCATGTACAATTTCCGTGTACGTTTGGTAGAAACCTGCAGTCGAACCTGTTCTAATGGCGGTGTCCTGTCTGCGGCCACCTGCACGTGCTCATGTCCTTCACCTTGGTCCGGAGACACATGCCGTGAGTTGACACTACAGCCTTACATCATAGTCATATATTAAATTAGACGTCACATCCTCTAAAATTCTCCAGTAATGATCTGGGACGTTTCGGTGGTTTTCTGGTTAATGTGTTCGCACGTCACGCCGAAGACCTGAGTTCTATACCCCAGGTGGATCTTATCCGTTAAGCCTATGACCAACGTCCTCCGCCGAAATATGTTGGGAATATCACAGAGAGTAGCGTAAACCTATGTTCGGTCATTTAACCAATGAACATACACCTATTTTTTATTAATACTAACGAGTATTCTTCCTCACATTGTACATCTTATGCTGTAGAGACGTGCACCGGTTCCTGTTCCAACGGAGGAGTGCTGAACCCCACCACGTGTACCTGCGCCTGCCCCGCCCCCTGGTCTGGACCAACATGTCGTAAGTAGTGGGGGATATTTAAACTCCTGTAAACGTGATTCAGCTTGCAAGAATCTTCATTCAACAGCGGTAGTCTTTATTGATTTCTAACAAGTAGCTATCTGTGGTACATGCTAAATAAACTCCATGTTAGGGGAATTCGTTGATAACAATATTACGTCTTTGCAGAAACATGTGGCGGGTCTTGCGCTAACGGTGGTCAGTTAAACCCCACAACCTGCCAGTGTTCCTGTGCCGCTCCCTGGACTGGATCAACATGCCGTGAGTAAACACTGTGTTGTCCGACATACATCATGTGAGTAAACACTGTGTTGTCCCAGATACATCATGTGAGTAAACACTGTGTTGTCCCAGATACATCATGTGAGTAAACACTGTGTTGTCCCAGATACATCATGTGAGTAAACACTGTGTTGTCCCAGATACATCATGTGAGTAAACACTGTGTTGTCCCAGATACATCATGTGAGTAAACACTGTGTTGTCCCAGATACATCATGTGAGTAACACATGTGAGTGTTGTCCCAGATACATCATGTGAGTAAACACTGTGTTGATGTGAGTAAACACAGTGTTGTCTCAGATACATCATGTGAGTAACACTGTGTTGTCCCAGATACATCATGTGAGTAAACACTGTGTTGTCCCAGATACATCATGTGAGTAAACACTGTGTTGTCCCAGATACATCATGTGAGTAAACACTGTGTTGTCCCAGATACATCATGTGAGTAAACACAGTGTTGTCCCAGATACATCATGTGAGTAAACACTGTGTTGTCCCAGATACATCATGTGAGTAAACACTGTGTTGTCCCAGATACATCATGTGAGTAAACACTGTGTTGTCCCAGATACATCATGTGAGTAAACACTGTGTTGTCCCAGATACATCATGTGAGTAAACACTGTGAGTCCCAGATACATCATGTGAGTTGTTGTCCCTAGATACATCATGTGAGTAAACACTGTGTGTTGTTAACAGTGTTGTCCCAGATACATCATGTGAGTAAACACAGTGTTGTCCCAGATACATCATGTGAGTAAACACTGTGTTGTCCCAGATACATCATGTGAGTAAACATTGTGTTGTCCCAGATACATCATGTGAGTAAACACAGTGTTATGTCTGACAGATTGTTACTATGTTATGTCGGCAACAGGAAGACGGAAACACTTGGGGTGAGACAACCGAGCATTTATGCAGATGCATTGCGTCTTGTTTTGAATTAAGTGCTCCAAATGTATTCATTGAAATAGAGTAACGCATGAATTCAATGATAAACAGAAATTAGGTAAATAAAATGAATATCAAACTACTCATAGTTATTGTCACATGTAAGCCTCAGAGTATTCATGATCATATACTGGCTTTGACAGAAACCTGTAGTCGAACCTGTTCTAATGGCGGTGTCCTGTCTGCGGCCACCTGCACGTGCTCATGTCCTTCACCTTGGTCCGGAGACACATGCCGTGAGTTAACACTATAGCTGCAGAATATATACCCGTTTTAAATCAGACGTGAAAAATAACTTAAGCCCTTTATATTGCTGAACTGTATGTACAAGATCACGTATTCTGTCATTGTATATCTCTGGGTTATGTTGCAGAGACATGCAGCGGTTCCTGTTCCAACGGAGGAGTCCTGAACCCGACCACGTGTACCTGCACCTGCCCCGCCCCCTGGTCCGGCGCAACATGTCGTAAGTAGTGGGGAATATCACTTCCAGTGATTCAACCTGCTCACCAACAAGCGTTTTCTAAGATCTTCATTCAGCAGTACAGTTTTCATTGATGTTTAACAAATATTATCTTCAATGGTAAGGTGAGGTGAGTGAAATTGGGTTTAACGTCGTACTTGAGAATATTTCGCTCATATGACGACGTGCATGTGTGTGTATGTGTATGTGTGGCTGCTTGTACTAGCCCAGACTGAAGCTGGTTGTATAGTGCTGAGATACCATGCCGCAGTGAAGCATGAATACCCCACACAGACACATTATACTGACTCCGAGCCGACCAGTCCTTGTTGTACCCATTAAGGCCGAGCGCCAGGCAGGGACCAACAAGTACCATATTTTAACGTCTTTTGGTATGACGCGGGCGGGGATCGAACCGCGACCTTCCGGTCTCCACTACACCACGGAGGCGGTCTTAATGGTAGGGATTTTCGATGAAAATACAGTTGCCTTTTTTGCAGAAACATGTGGAGTGTCTTGCTCTAACGGTGGTCAGTTGAACCCCACAACCTGTCAGTGTTCCTGTGTCGCCCCCTGGACTGGATCAACATGCCGTGAGTAAACACTCACTTTCTCCTGCTGCTTGGTGAACCTCATTATTCTCCCTTCCACTCAGCCCTCCCTGAAATGCTAAAGTAAACAATAAAGCGAGTCTAGGACTCCGTTTCAATTTAAATGGATTTATTAGTTACTTTCAATATTAAACATCTTCAGGGACTATGCTTTAGTCTAGGCGTCAGTAAACACTTTATGTCCTCTACGTGATGTGAGTAAACACTTTTTTGTCCGAATCCACTACTTTAGAAAAAACTCATATGCCTAAAATATACAATACTGTTCATATACAAATATATGTCTGATACATATCGTGAATAAACAGCCTGCAATTTCCGAAATACAAACATCGAACGTTACAGGTTGTTACCTGAGCAAACACTGTTATGTCCGCTACATATCTGACACATCATGAAACTACAAACTGTTATCCTTCATGAGTAAACATTGCGTTATGTTTAATGTACATAAAGTGTGTAAATGCTGCTGTACAAGTCCCCGTATTCTGCTGCGACTAAACATCACTGTGTTACGCAGAGACATGCACCCGATCCTGTTCCAACGGAGGACTCCTGGACCCCACCACGTGTACCTGCACCTGCCCCGCCCCCTGGTCCGGATCAACATGTCGTGAGTATTGGGCGATATAAGCCTGTGTGAACGTGATTTAGCTTGCAAACGTAGGATCGTTTTCTAAAATCGGCGTTTAAGAAAACCTGTCGGAATGTGAATTAGGTATCATGTGTTTAACAATATATGTTTATCACAGGCGTGTCTGATAAACGTATAAACTTTAATACACTTTGTGATTGGGGAAAAGATGAAGATGATCTTATGTTTTTGCAGAAACATGTGGCGTGTCTTGCTCTAACGGTGGTCAGTTGAACCCCACAAGCTGCCAGTGTTCCTGTGTCGCCCCCTGGACTGGAACTACATGCCGTGAGTAAACACTCTTGTCACAGCTACATATCGCCAGTAAACACTGTATTGTGTTCGCTAGATGATGTAACTAAACACTTTTCCGTTTGACACACTGTATGTGAAACGTGATCCCACTACATACCGAGAGTAAACACTGCTACATCCCCTATATACCATGAATAAACAGTTCTGTCGCCTACATACCATGCATAAACAGTGATATCACCTACATACCATGAGTAAACACTGTAAAAACCTCTTATACCATTATTAAACACTGTTATATCCCTTTATACCATGATTTAACACTGTTATATTCCTATTTATCATGATTAAACATGGTATATCACCTATATACCATGATTAAACACTGTTATATCCCATATACCATGATTAAACACTGTTATATCCCCTATAAACCTGACTAAACACTGTTATATCCCCTTTCTACAATGATTAAACTATGTTATATCCCTATATACCATGATTACACTATGTTATATCTCTATATACCATGATTAAACACTGCTATATCCCCTATATACCATGATAAAACACTGTTATATCCCCTATATACCATGATTAAACACTTATATCCCCTATATACGATGATTAAACAATGTTATATCCCCTATATATAAACACTGTTATATCCCTATGTACCATAATTAAACACTGTTATATCACCTATATACCATAATTAAACACTGTTATATCACCTATATAACATGGTTAAACACTGTTACATCACTATATAACATGATTAAACACTGTTATATCCCCTATATACCATGATTAAACACTGGTATATCCCTATATACCATGATTAAACTGTTATATCCCTATATACCATGATTAATCTATGTTATATCCATATATACCATGATTAAACTATGTTATATCCCTATATATCATGATTAAACTATGTTATATCCATATATATCATGATAAAACTATGCTATATCCTTATATACTATGAGTAAACACTGTTATATCCCTATATACCATGATTAAACACTGTTATATCCCTATATACCATGATTAACACTGTTATTTCCCTATATACCATGATTAAACACTGTTATGTCCCTATATACCATGATTAAACTATGTTATATCCCCTATATACCATGATTAAACAGTTATATCCCTATATACCATGATTAAGCACTGTTATATCCCCTATATACCATCAATAAAGTTATAACACCTATATACCATGATTAAACTATGTTATATCATATATATCATGATTAAACTATGTTATATCCCGAATATAACATGAGTAAAAACTGAACTATGTCAGCAACATACCGCGAGTAAACACTATTGTGTCCACTATATACAATGGGTAAACACTGTTTATCGCGACTTTATTGTTTCACAAATCAGAGAGCTGCAGTCGCACTTGTTCTAACAACGGTGTGTTGAATCCCACTGCCTGCAGCTGTTCCTGCCCCGCCCCGTGGACAGGGGACACCTGCCGTACGTACAATAGTTTATCCTCCACAACTACAGCCAGTGAGGTTAAGTTCCCACCCGTCTACAAGGTGATATATAAGGCGTATAAGGCAAATAGTTATGAAATTATGTGAAATATAGAACAACTACATCGGTACCACTTTGACCTGTTTATGAAAGGGTAAGGGCTTTTCCGGTAGCACCCTCTCATACGTTTTGTGTAATTATACTACCCGTCAAATGTTTAGACTCACTAGTGAAAGTGTAGCCACGTACTCCAGTCAACCATTCGAAACTAGATTTTGCATAATATTCCATTCTATTTAAAAGTATTGTTCACATTTAAACTGGTGTATTGTTTACACATGAACTGGTGTATTGTAAAACAAATTCGTAACATTGAAAGATTTTTATCATCATGAGTTCAATAAATGATGAAACTCAGTAAAAAACAGAACAGAACTTTACACCAAACCGCAGCTGTTCACATGCACGATATTTGCACATGCCTTTCAGCAATTTGATGCATGACCATAATGCAATTCATCTGCATAAAGTTTGCATTTGGTTCCCTCAAGTTAGTGGAGACATTTATCTTCAATGTAACCATGTGTATATACATAACATATAGTGAGTGCTTTAAGTGAGTCTAAACTTTTGATGGGTAGAATAGTAAGAGTTACCAATTCCCATATCTGCAGTTATTGAAAGTTGGTCTCATCTTGGTTCTAGAGACCTGCAGTCGTGTGTGCAGCAACGGTGGCGTCATCGACCCCACTACCTGTACGTGCACCTGTCCATCCTTCTATACCGGAGCTACCTGTGGTGAGTTACCTTCCTTCACAAGTATCACCATGCATTGTTCTGAAATATCTCAACATTCCTTTCAGAAAGAACTAATAATAAACACACCTAGACCAGACCATGAATCTGCTGTGACAGATTGATCAGAGTCATTGGCGAAACACATTTATGAATGTAAACGAACAGGACTCTGACCGGATGGTGTACAGTCGTGGGAAACGCGTCAAGAATAATTAACTGTTTCCCTAAAACGGAGATTGCATATAGTTACACAATTAAACAATCTTTCACTGCACGGAACATGGAACTATCAAGTAGTAACTGCTTTTCATCCTACCAGACACGTGCAACATCCAGTGTGAGAACAACGGCGTGCAGACGACCACGGGGTGTGGCTGTTCCTGCCCCACCGGCTTCACGGGGCAAACATGTCAACTACGTAAGCAACGGGAGCTAGTTTGATAACTATTGATCATTGCTTAACACCATCCTGTTGCCATACATACATACATACATTGCATCCGCTCTTGTTAACTGGAATGAACGGTCATACTTGAAACTGCTTTCCTCTTATCAGGAATATTTCCTAAGTTTACAAACGTTAAGCCATTATAGTGTTACAGGATATGTCGATTCCGTTGTATTGTATTTGTCGATGTCGTTGTATTATTTATGTCGATACCGTTGTATTGTATTTGTCGATGTCGTTGTATTGTATATGTCGATGTCGTTGTATTGTTTATGTCGATGTCGTTATATTGTATATGCTGATGCCATTATATCGTTTATGATTACACAAAGTATTAGGTCATGCATTGTGTTCTCCGTACGTTTGTCTCGAACCGTTGATTTCGAGAAAACAATTTGATGGTGTTCGACGTATCAAGTATATCATCCACCTGTCTGGTTTTCCAGAAACGTGCACCCTTCAGTGTGCAAACGGCGGTGTCCTGAACGCCGCCCTGTGCAGCTGTACCTGCCCCTCCCCCTGGACTGGGACCACGTGCCGTAAGTTGAACAACATGGCAACTGTTAGATTTATTAAAACAGTTGAACTAAAGTCCATAATATCATGACTCGAAAATCGGATATAGTTTACTGTTGTTGAAGAATTCAGTTGTGATCTGGTCAACCACACAATATTTGTTGACAGAAACATGCCTGCGATCCTGCGCCAATGGGGGAGTGGTCATCCCTACAACGTGCACCTGTTCATGCCAGTTCCCCTGGACTGGAAGCACCTGCAGTGAGTTACTTTCTCATTTGTGTATGTTCTGGATAAACCATTACAGTTGGTTCGTGAATGGGAATCGCCGTTGAGGTTGTTCTTATTCACGAGTATCTGTATAACCTCTACATTGCAACACATCCCTGCTCTCTCAATCTTGTAGGCTTGACTTTAAACATGATATTGGAAAAGAATTATAAGTATTGTGATCGACGTTGATATGGCAAATATATATGGTATGATCATATCTCCGGCTGTTCTCGTGCTCAGTGTGATGGTGATGGTGACGCACTTTGTCGACAAACAGAACATTTGTGACCTCCTGTGTTCTCCAGACATGCACGAATTCTTCTAAGCGTGCTTTTACTGAGTTGCCTAATGTCATCATTGAGAGCAACAACACGTTCACTAACAGAGTTGATGAATGTTATGTTGCCATAAAGTTAAATCACCAGTTGAGAAATGATGCTATACGGATAGCATTGACCAGCAACTCTGTCCTGGACAATGTGCAGCTCGGCTTGTCATAGTTATACCACCCTCGAACGATAACGCTCTACGATGTTAGCGTACATACGACGCTCATTAGGACGATTTTAAACTCGGTTCCTTTGGCTGTGGCTGTCTGGTGGGAACCTCTATTAATTGGAAAACATGGCCATTCGAAAATATGTACATATAATTTAACAGCGATGTGTATTATGTCGTCGGAGCTGACCATTACTTGTTTTCAAATTATAAGATTGACATTAACGATACGTCTCCAGACAAAGTTACAAAACAAACAATATATCGGTTTATCCCGAGTGTTCATAAATGACAACCAGCTATCCTTTAGTGACAAATAATAGATGGTTAAAATGATAAAGCTCTGTCACAAGTGTGTCAATAAAGTTGCCATGTCAGCTATCCTCCATTATGGAATGTTAATGGATATCTGCTACATCATTGTGAAGCGACTACATTTCTGGGCTTCTTACCTTGCCGCCATATGCACTGGGAGTCACACATTACATCAAACGCCATTTATGTTAGAAAACGATCCGTTGGTGTTTGACATTATAGGTGTCTGCTCCCGTTCATGTTCCAACGGTGGCGTCCTTGACCAATCCACGTGTTCCTGTTCGTGTCCTTCACCTTGGACTGGCGATACCTGCGGTGAGAAAAGACTGGTTATTTATCACTGCAATTCAGATGATATTACATCAGATAGTCAATTCTGACTGTGCTAAGCTAAAATGAGGGAAATGTGAAAACGGGACCATCACACCATGATTTAAGTACGTGAACATGCTGTACAAAATGTACCCAAGTCACAACGCACAACAGTGTGACAACAGACAGCAGTTTCACAACAAACAACAACGTCACAACACTGTCATAACATCTGGGTCTTAACAAACAACAGCGTCACAATACAAAGTGACGTCACAACAGAAGTCATAACACACAGCAGCGTCACAAGACACAGTGACGTCACAACAAACAGGTCATAACAACAATGTGACAACATAACAATGTGTGAATGTAGAGCAGTGTCACAACACACATCAACGTCACAATACACGACGCGTCCACACAACTGTGCGATAACACAGATAGTGTCTCAACGATAGCGGTGTCATTACACATCACATCACTTCACTTTATTCAGAATTGAAGGCCATGTGGCCAAGAGTACAACAGGTAATACAACATTGTCATGGTGTGTAGAGTTGAAATATAATTCATAATACAATTATTTTAACGTAGGTTTTGCTTCAGGAATATACATATTCCTTTAAGAACAGTGACACTGTGTATCTTCATAAGGGCTCGGAATTTGACAATTGAAGGTGGGCTGTAGAAATCTGCATCGGTTATAAAATGGACATATTAGCAACAAGTGATATTCGTCTTCAAGCACGTTTAAAGTACATTTGTTACAAACTAATTCTTTATATGGGACAATTATCTTTGAAAAACGTTGTTTTTGTATATTCAAGTTATGTGATTGGCATCGGAATTTGATCAACATTCGCATAAGATCTTTGTTTAATGCGCCACAGGAAATATACAGTTCAGGTTCAAGAAGTGACTTAAATGTACTATAATTTACAAGAAATGATGAGTTTCTTATTTTACTATTCCAGTGTTGTATATTAATATCTATACAGCGTTGTTTGAACTCAAACATGAAGTGATTTACATCGCCACAATCTTGGGCTAACCAGACATAGGAGAAACCTGTAGTAAAAGAAGCATTCGAACATGTGAAACCCAGTTTGTGCCTCCGTTATCATCATAGGCTTTCATCATCTTATAACAGGCATTCGGGTATCTATTTTGGTCCATACGAATAATTCGGCACCAATATTTAATACACCTTGAATGGTAATGTACACACAAGTTATATCTGCCAATTTCTCCAAGTACAGCACATGATGCAGTTTTTTTTACTGAGTAACAGAAATCTTTATAGTACTCACTATGAACCTTTTCAATACACGTCTTCTATAAGTATAGCCCCAAATTTCACTTCCATAGGTTAGAATTGGTAGTATTTTACTGACAAATATATTATTAGCAATAGTTAAAGACATACTTTGATACTTGGTGAACAGTTGAAACAGAGGGAAACATGCACGTCTGGCTTGTAAAGATAGCGTTTCACATGCTTTGGACCAAACTAAACGAGATGAAAATACAATTCCTAAATATTTATAATAAGGGTGGCCTCTACAGGTAGACCTTTAAAAACCATTTTTCATTTCTCTTAACGCGTCCTCCGTTTCGAAAACAAACAACCTTAGATTTATCCAGATTTGCTTCAAAGCCCCACGTGTTACAAAATCTTCAAGAATGTCTAATTTTCTTTGTAAATCAACAATGCTATCTCCTAGTAGTGCAACGTCATCCGCGAACAGTAATATCTTAATAGCTTCTATGTATTCATTTACATAAATCCCACGAGTATTGCCATGATGGAGATCGTCTGCAAGTTTATTGATGAATAGGATGAATAGTAGCGGACTGAGCATGCAGCCCTGACGAACACCATTATTGGTTGAAAAGAAATCTGTCTCTAGATTTACCAGAACGAACGGAGGCACATACATTTGAGTACATGTCCTCAATGATTTTATACATCTTGCCGTGTACACCCTTTTCAAGTAGAATATATAACATTTTTTTTTCTATCAATAAGATCGAAGGCCTTGCGGAAATCGATGAAAGCTACATAAAAACGATGTTTTGCTTTTACGCAGGTACTTATGAACTAAAGAATGGAGTGAGAACATATTATCTATGGTAGAATAATCATTTCTAAAGCCTCCTTGCCCTTCATTAAGTAAAGCATTAAACTCTGGCCCAGCTACACCAGTCTTTTTCAAGAACATAAGTGAAAATTTTACCAATGACACTTAACATGGATATTCCCCGATAGTTGTTGGGATCAGACATATTTCCTTGTTTATAGATAGGTACCAGTAAACCAACATTCCAAGCAGAGGGAAATACTCCTGAATCTAAAATGACATTAAACAATGCATAGAAATGATCAGTAAGGGAAGGTGCATTCTTCATGAATTCTGGCGGAAGGCCATCTATTCCTGGTGACTTGCCCGATTTAATATCACAGATCGCTTTAATAATTTCCTCATGGCTGATGGTATCTGATAACATATCAATGTTCAAGCATTTTTCACATGGAAAACTATCATGATTTTCAAGAAAATGTGCAACATCGTGATCAAATTCAGTTTGACTATCAGAAGGATTTAAAAGATCTTTAAAGTATACAAACCATTCACTTGGTGTTATATCATTTTCATCACGTTTACTAGCAAGGAGACGTTTCAATTGTTTACACATCACAGTGTCATACGAAATGGAGTGAAAGTCTTCTCTGGAAAACACTAGTTACTGTTTAACAATGTGCAGTTAAATCACAGTCTAAGTAAACTTAGGCTCAGTATTATTCGTTACACTGCTATCCTGAGTCTAACCAGGGAGACTATATAAGGTTGTAGATTATCCCTGGTCTAACTAAACCTAGTAGAGGTTCGCGTCAGCTAACCTTTGAGCGACCTATGACCGTCCAATCAAACGCGAGGCTGCCGAACGGATTTAACCAATCAAACCACGACTACTTGTTAGGGTTCGGCGGGACTTACAAAACGGTTTTTCGATTTTTTCTTCCCTGGTCGCTGACACTGATCTATCAACAAACGAAAATCCGCATAAAACATAGATATTTGACCTTCAGTATATACGCTTATGGGTTTCTAATGATGTGGTTACTGTTTGCTTATATTTTCGCAAGATGACATCCTTGAATATTGACAAAAGCGCTAATTTCAGCGACTGTTTACTCATTGCGTGTATCACTCGAAAGCGATCGTGCGGAAAATAGCATTCGGAATCGTTCGAGTTTTTAGGTAAAGGTTCAAACGGTATGTGCGAATGTTAACTTTCGCAATTTGGTAAGCTATGTTCTGATTGGTCAGTCCAAAAGGTTAGCTGACGCGACCTTCTACTAAGTTTTGTTAGACTCAGTATAGCAGTGTAACGAATAATACTGAGCCTAAGTTAACTTAGACTGCATTAAATCAAAGCATTAATCTGTCTCAATACACACCAGCGTCATATCATAAAACATTGTCACTTCAGTGTAAAGAATTTAGTTGCTTGTGTATACGTTGTTTTGTTTTCGTGGCACAATGGAGTGTTGAGAAGTCTTCTTTGTGGCTATGTTAGATTTCAACAACATTGTGTTTAAACGTCAAAATACCGAGGACGAGATGGCGACATATTTAGCAATTACATTAAAACCACATGTGGACTTTTTCACTCTGCAGAGACATGCAGTCGTTCATGTTCGAACGGTGGAGTGCTCAACCCGTTCTCATCATACATGCACGTGCCCTTTCCTGGGAGACCTGCATCATTTCTGGATTTGTTCTCTGAATATCTTGTTAGTTTCATTTTACGCCGCTTTTAGCAATATTCCAGCAATATCACGGCGGGGAACACCAGAAATGGGCTTAACTCATTGTACCCATGTGGGAAAGCGAACCCGGGTCTTCGGCGTGACGAGCGAACGCCTTAACCACTAGGCTAGCCCACCGCCCTTTAAGTACGTGAACATGCTGTACAACATGCAACCAAGTCACAACGCACAACAGTATGACAACACACAGCAGTTTCACAACAAACAACAACGTCACAACACTGTCATAACATCTGGGTCTTAACAAACAACAGCGTCACAATACAAAGTGGCGTCACAACAGAAGTCATAACACACAGCACCGTCACAAGACACAGTGACGTCACAACAAACTGAGGTAATTACACAACAATGTGACAACATAACAATGTCTCAATGTAGAGCAGTGTCACAACACACATCAACGTCACAATACACGACGCGTTCACACAACTGTGCGATAATACAGATAGTGTCTCAACGATAGCGGTGGCGTTACACATTACAGTGTCACACGAAATGGAGTGAAAGTGTGAAAACACTAGTTACCTTGATGTTCTGAACACAATGTGCTGTTAAATCACAGTCTAAGTAAACTAAGGCTCAGTATTATTCGTCTAACCAGGGAGACTATATAAGGTTGTAGATTATCCCTGGTCTAACTAAACCTAGTAGAGGGTCGCGTCAGCTAACCTTTGAGCGACCTATGACCGTCCAATCAAACGCGAGGCTGCCGAACGGATTTAACCAATCAGACCACGACTACTTGTTAGGGTTCGGCGGGACTTACAAAACGGTTTTTCGATTTTCTCTTCCCTGGTCGCTGACACTGATCTATCAACAAACGAAAATCCGCATAAAACATAAAATACAGATATTTGACCTTCAGTATATACGCTTATGGGTTTCTAATGATGTGGTTACTGTTTGCTTATATTTTCGCAAGATGACATCATTGAATATTGACAAAAGCGCTAATTTCAGCGACTGTTCACTCATTGCGTGTATCACTCGAAAGCGATCGTGCGGAAAATAGCATTCGGAATCGATCGAGTTTTTGAGGTAAAGGTTCAAACGGTATGTGCGAATGTTAACTTTCGCGGTTCGGTAAGCAGTGTTCTGACTGGTCAGTCCAAAAGGTTAGCTGACGCGACCTTCTACTAAGTTTTGTTAGACTCAGTATAGCAGTGTAAGGAATAATACTGAGCCTAAGTTTACTTAGACTGCATTAAATCAAAGCATTAATCTGTCTCAATACAGACCGGTAATATCATAAAACATTGTCACTTCAGTGTAAAGAATTTAGTTGCTTGTGTATACGTTGTTTTGTTTTCGTGGCACAATGGAGTGTTGAGAAGTCTTCTTTGTGGCTATGTTAGATTTCAACAACATTGTGTTTAAACGTCAAAATACTGATGACGAGCAATCACATTAAAATAACATGTGGACTTTTTCACTATGCAGAGACATGCAGTCGTTCATGTTCGAACGGTGGAGTGCTCAACCCGTTCTCATGTACATGCACGTGCCCTTTTCCATGGACAGGCACCACGTGCGGTGAGTAACAGTAGTTAGCAGAATAACAGTAAATATTGAACACTTGTCCCACACACTGAACAAAGCGGACTACTTATTCAGTTGTGTAAATATGACTGCCGCGTGTCCTGGTCGTTAACATTTGAGGTTCGACAAATATGTGTCTGTTCGTTAGTGTGGAAACGAGCTGCTTACTGGTGGGTATGTTTGCTCGTCACGTGTACTCGGTGCCCCAGCTTGGTACAATACTGACTGACTGACTGAGTTTGGTTTTACGCCACTTTTAGCAATATTCCAGCAACATCACGGCGGGGGACACCAGAAATGGGCTTCACACATTGTACCCATGTGGGGATTCGAACCCGGGTCTTCGGCGTGACGAGCCAACGCTTTAACCATTAGGCTACCCCACCGCCCCGGTACAATACTGCTACTTCCGGTATCGAAGAGAGCACATATGGGTCCGTTGTCTCAGGAGCTGCAAGTCCGGCAGGTCAGAAAGATTCTGGCTTTGAACCCCGGCTTACCCTGGTGTTTTCGAGTTTGTCACCCCACTCCCCCATGCTTGAGGGTTTAACTTACATGGCAAACGTGGGAGACCTGCATCATTTCTGAATTTGTTCTCTCTGAATATCTTGTTAGTTTCATTTTACGCCGCTTTTAGCAATATTCCAGCAATATCACGGCCGGGAACACCAGAAATGGGCTTCACACATTGTACCCATGTGGGAAATCGAACCTGGGTCTTCGGCATGACAGGCGAACGCTTTAACCACTGTGCTATCCCACCTTCCCACTTCTTGAGGACTGGTATACCCATCTCACTCACCTTTACACGACTTCTATTGTTCCAAGAGGGTAGAGTGAGTTACATGGGTCTAACCTAACACCTTGAGTACTGTAACATGAACCGATTTCACGCGGTCGTGCGTAGCGCTGGACAAAAAGGTGTTCAGAAACATAGAGGTACCTCGTTGTGCCGTAGTATGAACGTGATGTTTTCTCATCAGTAAAAAGGTTTATACTAAGGAGTTATTCTGTGTGCCCCATAGAAACGTGCAGTCGTTCCTGTGCTAACGGCGGTGTGCTGAACGGCAACACATGTTCCTGTACGTGTCCCGCACTGTGGACCGGACCGACCTGCAGTGAGTGTGCTCTATAGATCATTGCTAGAAATGCAAATAGACTACTCAAAATATCAGCCATGATAAATACACATTAGTCATGAAAATGGAAACAATCGGTGTTCTTTAATTGCTTTTGTGTAATGCAGAAATATCGTATTGTTCTCCTTATTATTTCTGCTAAGTATCAGCGCCTTGAGCATGCACTAGTTGCATGGATATGTGCGATATATAAATACCCTTTAACAATAAACAACAGAAACAACAGTAATATTTCGATTCACTTTTAATCCTTTTTCTCTATTTATAAGACGATTACACACTCACAGCGATATGGTTCTAATGGAACTATGGTGATGGACCGTCCATTCTCATTGCCAAACATAATTACTTGTTCAGGTTCAAAACATTAAGGTCCAAAGTGTTTGTTTGAAGGGGATGATTGGTTTCAGAAAACACTCGCAAGATCCTAATCCTCTGAAGTCCACTAGTTACCTTGATGTTCAGAACACAATGTGTTGTGAGTCCCTAAAACCATTGTACGTCTTGCACTGTCTTGCGGGTGCTAACTTACAGATCGTATCACGGCTCAACATTCTTGTATATGTTTGACAGGTACGTGCTCAACCCAGTGTCTGAATGGCGGGACACTCACCTCGGCCTGTACCTGTCAGTGTCCATCCACCCACACCGGAAGTGTCTGTGAAACACGTAAGTCAAGTACAGAGGACATTAAATCAAAGTATTTCTGTAACAATTATATCACAATAATAGTCAATATGTAAACGATACTTCAGTATTCTGGGGTAGATATGCTTTAGAGTTTGTTTGTTTGTGTGAAAGACATGGAGAATATTGATTTAGTGTGTTTTATATTTGTAAAATGTTATTTGAATGTCTTATGTCTTAGGGCTGTAATTTGAACAGCCTATTTTTGTATCATTTGTGTAAGAGAATATCTCTTCTGTAAATCTGATAAATGTGAACTTATTTCAAAGCACTTTGCGCAATTTGAAATTCTCTGCTCTACATACCATGGTTCGTGTATACATTAGAGAAGACGTACCATCGATCATCACTGATCCCGGATTCAGCCTGTTGAACAGTCTATTCAACAAAGTCTGTTCTGTTCTGTCAGTATCTGAATGGTTGGAACATCCCAGTTTCAGCTTCCTGCTCCCGGCAGTGCCTTAACAACGGCATCCTCATCCAGTCCGCGTGTGCATGTGCGTGTCCGGTTGGGTTCGCCGGGGACTCCTGTGGTAAGTACATCACAGACAGCGCTACCAGACAAGTCAGATTTATCACATCAACTTCCAAAATGGCAACATGACTTTTGTGGTCAACTTAAAAATACGTAAATAATCAGTTGATGTCTACCCATCCTTTTACTCATTTTATAATGCGTAACCACTTTGCATATATTCTTTTTAAGCAAAATGTACATGACCAATTATAAGTAAGAAAATATGTAAAGTTAATGTTTACTTCCTTTGCCAGAACGCTGTGACCTAAACTGTCAAAATGGCGGTGTCGCAAATTACCCAACATGCACCTCCTGCACCTGTCCGCTCGGATTCAGTGGCGACCTCTGCCAGACAGGTGAGTGATCTCCCTTCACCCGCCACTAGGGTACACTGCTAGGCGTATTCGAGGTATTAAGTGTTCAGATCATAAACGAGTTTATGAGCAACTTCTGGACCTGTCTTACATTAATCTAAACAGCATAATAATTGCCCGAAAACTGTTACAGAGAACAGTTAGTTTTATTGATATTTGAACACGGTTTATTCAAAACCGTTCGATCTCTGACAACACATTGAACTCTCCCCAACCCCTTCATCATCTTCGTATGTTTCTTCACGTCCTTGGTATACATTAATGTGTATACAGGAGACCAGAACTCTGTATTACCTCATTATCTTCTTTTCATTTCACCGTGCCCAGGGCATATATTAAGGACTGATGCATACAGGATATACCAGAACGCTATTATTTGAAAGGTGTAACCTTTCTTACACCTCTATGTGTGGTGTACTTGCAGCTGGCTGCACCACACAGTGTCAGAACGGTGGCCAGCTGACGTCAGCCTGCGCCTGCACATGTCCAGCTGGATTCTCGGGAGACCTGTGTCAGTTCTGTAAGTGTAACATCGTGTTTTTAATACATCTCGTATACAACGGTTTCCAGTACAGGTCAGAATGGCTAAAGTAGCAATAAATAGAACACACTGGTGCAATTATCGTTTCTTTTTCTGTGTTACTTACAAGTTATTGTTTACAATGTATCGTGGTGTGTTGGACATAGGCACCCAAAATAAGGCGACAGAAGCATCTTATTAATCAAAAACATAATCTACTGTTGTAATATAATGCTTGTGATTAAAAGGTTCCGATTGATTATTACACTGTACTTGTTATGCCGAGCATCCCTGTTACATTTAATTTGTTTCTTTCCAAACCATAGTGTTTGTAGTGTATAATGAAAATAACGCCCCTTCAACAAACATTCAGTTGACCAATCAAAGCAAAGATCAGTGTCCGTCCGGTGATAATAGGTCTTTGTCACCACAGGAGTTAGGTATATTGGGACAAGGGTCAGTTGAAACTGTTATTCTGGTGTATGTCGTTCAGCAGGTCCTCGACTGTGGTGGCTGGCCGCAGGGCTACTGAATAGTGTTACTTGAAACGGTCATAAATAAAAAATACGTGACGAGCCAAATGCCGAAAAGTTCATGTTTGAAGCATTCACCCTGCGTCCAATAAGTATCACTGACCATTGATATGTTTAATAGAAGAGAAATACTATTTTGTGGACGGAATTGTTGGACTTTAGTTATAGGTGAAAGGTTTAAAAGATCGAATTATTTTAGCATTCTAAATATATATTGTTGTTAGATCCACGTTTGGGTTTTGTGATTAACAAGTAACTTCGATGTGATTCTACGTCCTACAAGTCTGTATTCTACCTTTGTTTCAGCGGGGTGTACACGGGTGTGTCCCAGCGGCCAGGTACTTAACCCCACGGCATGTGTGTGTATCCCAGACTACGGTGAGTTAAGATGACAGGGTTATACATTAGACTGAAACACTTACTTATAACTGACAGTCTGGTCACCACCCTGATTAAAGAACAATCACCGAAGTATGTTCATTATCCATCTCGATGTACTGAATGATGTTTAATCCCAGATTTCGGCCAGGGTTTTAGTGTTCCTTCGCGAGGGGCAGATAATCCCTGTTTCCCGGTCGGTTATTATATATATATTGCCCAAACTGTGACAGTTGAGAGTTTAACAGAGACAGAAATCTGTATAAAATGTCATATGTACATGGTAGCTAATGTGTTTATGACGTAATTTAGTCATTAAGTGGGGTTATGGGTCATGAGTTCAGATCTTTTGTCTCCCTCAAATAATGCATTTAGTTATTAACACACGATGAGTCTACCATTAAGGTAATATAGTATTATATTGCAGGCATGCAAATAGGATTCGTACATGACCTAAAACTACAATTTGCGATATATAACACGAAACATTGTTTGTGTGGTTGTTTAGCGACACGACACGTCGATCAATTGTAATAACTGTTGTTATATATTGTTGAAATCTCTACTCGCGATTACTTCTAGCAATGATCTGTAATATTTTAGTGAAAAATATATTACATGAACTCACCAACAGTTCACCCACATTCCATCTTGTATCTGCAGTTTCATGCACTGGGACCGAGGCTGCATTTTGTCCATTTTACGCCAACGCGTGCGCATATATCAAAGTACTTATGTCAGTCTGCACCGTCACGTGCAGGACATGCGGTAAGTACAAAGCTTACAATATAGACTTTCAATATAGATTTCTACAAGGTATTATTTACACAAAAAAGGAATTGGTCAAAATGAAAAATGTTGACAACAGTTTGTGTTGTTTTCGCAAAGATGTAAATGAGAGTGTGTGTCATGTGTACTGGGAATGTCAGGAGACACAAACCTTTTGGATAAACCTACAAATTTGGCTTAATAATTTTTATCCACATCCATTGAAATTATCCAAAAACATGATTTGGTTTGGTACTCAGCATGAAAATAGATTACTAAATCACATCATCATTGCTGCGAAGAGACATATTCACTTATGAAGCTTGAAAAAATATGCTTCCAAATCTAACTTTATATATAAAAACTCTAAAAAAATATTCTTTGTGGCAAATCATATATCAACAAAAAATAATAATATCGATAATTTCCATCATAAATGGAGCCTTCTCTCCTCAGTACTTAGATGACTCAAACTGTATTGAATTGTACCTGACATTATCTATACATTATATATTTAATGAATTATGCATGTTATGAATATATTAATACAATAATATCTCGCCTGTACATCATGCAGCCATATTACTTTAAGCCGTATGCCATATTACTTTAAGCCGTATGTTTCACGGTTTTGTATATCTGTTATATTTTAATCTTGGGAACCACACGTCATGTCCATATTGGCTTCGTAGGGATAATGTCACTGTTTCATGAAACCAGTAAGGAAAGTCGCCGAACATTCAGAATGAGTGAGTGAGTGAGTTTAGTTTTACGCCGCTTTTAGCAATATCCCAGCAACATCACGGCGGGGGACACCAGAAATGGGCTTCACACACTGTGACCGCGTGGGGAATCGAACCTGCCGAATATTCAGACGTCAGACTGCCAGTAATAAATGTTATATTCTCCACGCAAACTTCCAAATACGAACAAGATTTTGTTGTTTTAGTCAAAGAAGAAGAATTATCATGGATCATAGTACATTTAATCCAAACAGTAAGATCAAGCAATGAGTGTAAGAGATGTACCTGGGATAATACTCTCTATACAGATGGGTGGACACCTTTTCGACAGTTTCTTGTGGCGCACAATACTATGTTATATATGGTTTCTTTCTTGGAACAATTTCCAAGAATAATTGCAACCGACTATTTCATATAAAGACCATGTGCCACCGTTTGTTGTCTCTATGCATTATAGATAAAACGTTGCAATGAACAGCCAGAATTGTTTTCTGTGATAATGCTGGAATAAACAGGCTGTGACATTTACGAATATAATTACATAAATTTTCAATAGTTTGTGCTTCTATGGAGCGATAATTGTAAAAATGCTCAGTATCCACACCGATGTTTGCGCTTAAACATCCATATTATAAACGTCAATACATATTCAAGTCTAGTATTAAACAAGTATGCCTGGTGTACTTTCAGAGATCAATGCGCCAAATCCGCTGCCTCAGTTCGCAGGCTGGTCCTAAACAGAAGGACCCCCGGGCTTTACTCTAGTGTATACTGAATTATAATGAATAAAACTTTACTATTTTTACCAAACAGTCCTTATGTTTTGTTTGAAATATAGTGGGAGATATATTATACAAATCGTCGACAGGTCTCCTAAGGTATTCTGTGTGATGTACATTGTGTGTACATCAGTATGTCCAGCGACTGTTTCACTAAACCTTGACAGATGACAGACGACATAAAGACACCAGAGTTATCACCCTTTGAATACAATAGGATGTGGTCGGTTAAAGTTCTTTCAGCTAGATCTGATTAGAGTTCAGTTTCGAGAAAATATTATCACGTCATTATTTTCAATTGGTAAGAGGTTCCGCGTTTCCGAGTAGGGAAATGTATACCATAGCTGTCAACGGAATACAAAGGCAATAATGTTACTTTCCAAAACAAGTGTCTGTGACGTAAAATCACAGATCATGTATTCCGCATAATATATTGTACAGTGAGTGAGTGAGTTGGGTTTTACGCCGGTTTAAGCATTATTCCAGCAATATCACCGCGGGGGACAAGAAATGGGATTCACTCATTGTACCCATGTAGGGAATCGAACCCGGGTTTTCGGCGTGACGAGCGAACGCTCTAACCACCAGGCTACCCGACCGCCCCGGAAGAGACAACAAGTGGAGATTTGTGACCCTGGTATCATTCCAGGCGTAGAAGGGGATCCGGGGATATATATGAACGCACCCCTGAACGCATTACGCTCAAAGAGAATGTTTATTTAACACCCTCATCTTGTACAGTTTATATTAACTCTCTCAAATATCGTAGCATCGTATGAAGAGTTTCTACGAGAACCACTCCTGTATAATAAGAATATAAATATCAATAAAAAATTCTTTTTAAGCAAAACATTTTATGAAAAAAACATTACTAATATTGGCTGTTTGTTGAATGCAGATGGAAACTTTAAATCTCTTCAAGAGTTTTGTGATAAGTTTTTCGAGATTAGTTTTTGCTTTTCAAGGTTTATTAAGGTAAATATTTATTTTAAAAGATTGAAATTAGATAAAGGTAATTTTATAGAGGGAGATAGATCACAGAATGTATGTATTACAGTTGCTTTCGTGTAAAAGAGGTTCGAAACAATGTTATTATGTTATGACACAGACTGCAGAAAATCTAAAGATAACTGAAAAATGGGAAGAGGAAATATTAGTAAGACAGAACTGGTCAAACATATTTATCAAAGCATTTAAAACTACATCTGATCCAAAGTTAAGATGGATGCAGTACAGGCTACTACATAGATTGTTAATAGCAATCTATGAACATTTTGTAAGGCAGAGGCGGAATCAATACTATACATTTTTGGGGGATGTAGAGAAAGTGAATCTTTTTGGAGGAATCTCTCTCAATGGATTATGCTGAAATGTTCACGTGCTAACAGAATTATATAATTCCATTGTGATCTAGTGTTATTTGGTATTTCTGAATCCTTCCACAGTGATACTATATTTGACTTGATAATTTTATTAGCTAAATTTCATATCTATAAATGTAAACTTACAAATCAAATACCGCATTTATCCGTTTTTAAAAAAGGAATTGAACTATTACCACAACGTAGACAGAATCAGATATAGCAAAGGAAGGTTTCAGGAATACCATAACAAATGGAAACAGTATGAAAATCTTTTTCAGTAGCATACATTGACAATACGAATTATTTGTTTTTTGTATGGATGTATGAGCGAATGTTGTATCTATGTGTTAAAAAATAACAAAAAAACTCGGTGAGTCCAGTCTCCGTATATATATTGTATACATTTATACATATATTGTATACTGCTTTCTCCGAGGATAAAAACTTAAAAAAACACACAAAAAAACTCTCTCAAATATCTACAAATTGCTTCTGCAGCTGAAGCTTAGATTGGGGGTATTGTGTGGCGCTTTGTTCGCCTTTTCTTTGCATGTTTGGCATCTTTCAACAGATTAGAAGCATTTAAAGCTGTTGTATGAACGACTAAATTATCACCCGTTCTACGCATAAATATATAATGGACAGAGTAGTGTCCGTCCCCTTATAATTGTTGCACTATTCCACTAATCACATTCTATAGGTCTGTAGTGGCAAACCTTAACGAAGGGAGGTTACTCTGTAGAGTTGTTTTGGTCGACGGGTCGGGTCCATTTCGCCTTGCACGTACAGATTGTTATGTCTAGGGATCATATGGTCATGTACTTATAAATAACTTTTAACATGTTTATTTTTAACCCTTTGCTGTCGGGATGACTAACAATCACGACTATTATTATTATAATAATCCGTCTGCTTAAAAATGCATCAACTGTTAACATCCACAAACACAAACTTATTAAATCTTTGCCGTTGTATTGAAAAAGAAATTTGCCAATTTGATATTGTTTTGAATGATATATGCGCACTGTGTGCATTTTTTCTGTATTAGCAATATGGGTCACGTGGCCCCAAATGAAAAATAAACTTATCACAATCACGACCCAAGAAACATATATCGTGGAGTAATGTGTATAATTCACTTAGTACCAATGCACAAATCCGTTCTTGCTTATAATTTTTCCTTGTCTGTAGACTTATGGTGTGTCAGAATCCGATTTTTTTTCAACTGAATACGTTCCGCGTTTTGTGCGGATTTTTCCTCACAGCATGGAGTACGGTTGTTCGGATTCCAGGATACTTTCGGATCCAACTGATTTCAGAGCTCGGCAGTTGACAACTTCGGATCGGACAAGTACAACGCCGCGCTCACTGACTTCACCACTCATGTAGTGGTTAAATTATAACCGCAACTGTCAACAGTGACTTTGTGAATCATCACGGCGAACTATCAGAATACTATGAGGCCAGTGTAGCCCGTGCAACCAAGAAGCGGTTGAATAATGAAAGGCTATCGGCGGCGAGGGCCCGATCCGAGATTACGCGAACACAATGCTAGTTGGTGTATTTCGGATCGGGTTAACGTGTTCGAAAATGAGAGCAGTCTTTCTGCTGGCATCGGCAGCAACAACGTCGTATGGTATACTGTTTGTACTACCTACATACAATATGTGTACTGATATAAAGTGCGTGAACATTTCAGTGCGTATAGACACATGCGACGTTTGCACCACATTTCACCAATTCAACCACCAATTTGTGACCTAACTATGTATATTTAAGCTGAATAATGACTGTCGTTACCAGCTAAACAACTCGTGCAGATTATATATATGCATGTCCGCTTGGTTATATGACAGGTTCGTCATAATTATTCATTCCATTAGTGAAATGGACAGTCCAGGTAAAAATGCGTCCACGTGCTTATTAAAAGTACTCACGGAAATAGAAATAAAATGTGGGGTTTCTTTTGTTGCTTTTATTTGTTTTTTACTTCATTAAAACAGGTACTTCCTCCTGAGGGAAGAGATAACAAAGAAGATTGACAGAATATTGAATCCTTGCAAATGGACATGCAGCGTTCTGACGAGTGCTGTGAAGAATTTGTTTTCATTGCGCATTCCTAAATGGCGAACAAACTAAATGTACCAAGAAACGCATAGTTATAACATACAGTGCAAACCTAACAAGAAGATGCGTGTAAAGAAAAAACATTGTATTCATTTACAAACACAGCTTCGGCACCACAATTACTTATTCCAAAAGACTTTCAAATTTACGAAGGGGTATGTTTTTTAAGCCATCCAGTGCACATAGATTTTCCAATCTTCATCCAGACCAGAACCTGCTTATTTACTCGCATACCGCTTCCTGACTCGCTGGCTTTATGATCGTCAATAATGTCCATGGTAGGTTTGAAGGTCTCAAAACCTGCAGCCATTCTTTCAGTTCCAGTCTTTCATTTTACTACCAATACAAGTCTCAAAGGTATCACATTCCGATTTGTCGCAGTCAAATTACCCGTTACATGCGCTTTCAATTAAATCGGAAGACTCATCACCGAGCTCTAGGAAACCAGAAATATTTTAATTACATTTATTCAGTTCAGCCGAGGCTTCATTTGTACTCTCTCTCGCTTAGATTTATTGCGTGCAGGCACTATTTTTAGATGAACTGGATCCGATGTTGGATATAAGACATGGAGTGGAGAAACACGATTGCTTGGTGGTGCGTCAAACTATTAAGGGGACGTAGCTCTAATCTTGCCTTCCCAACGTAGACACAGCGACAGTCATTCGTCACCACTCGCACCTTTCCGTAACGTCCAAGAAGGCTCCTTCCCGTTTCGATGCTTGTCATGTGCGAAAATACGACAAACCAATCAGAACGCGCGTAATGGTTGCGGTGCTTTGATAAAGTAATCCCGACTACTTAAATCGTTTATGGCATTATGTTATTGTTTAAAAAATCATGAAAATATATATCGTCATATAGAAAGTACTAAGAACGTAGCTAACAGAATTGTGCTGTCTAATGTGAAGTTTTTGATAAGACTCTTGACGGTGAGAGATTCAAATACACGAACGTTCGTTTATTCACATAACGGCTCTCATGGGGGCCAATCTGGCGATCTTGCCGGCTTGCTGTAAAGATTGTACGTGCGCTTCCAACAGTTTTAGGAAATGTAATTTATAAATCGCCACGCGTTTCAAAACAATATTTGAGCCTCACTAATTTATGGCCATTCATATATTTTTCAGCGATTTCATTTAATATTCTACTTGGGGTATGACAGCAAGGTCTCACGAGTCATTTTTGAGTTTCTGCTTTGCGATTTAATGCAGCTGGGTGGTTTTTTTTATAAATTCTACTTACATATTTAATAATACAAATCCCATTTGTGATTATTAACCCCTATTTAGAAATATAATTGGAAATATAAGGCGAATATCTGGTAATAATTATGTCAGAATATCTCTTTAACAAATATGCTTTTGTCTTTAACAAATGTGAAATCCTTCCAGAGGGGTACGAGTCGCTATCCGGCTTGTCTCGGAATAACACGAGTTGGTCACGAATGAGCGGCAGTGAGAACGATGGCAATGTTGGCATTAATATGAGTGTTGAGTGCTGATTAACAAGAGTAAGTGAGTGAGTGAGTGAGTAAGTA